CACTGAAAAACAAATAACTAAAACTGAGCACTGGTGGCTCATACCTGTAATCTTAGCTATTCAGGAAGCAGATATCTGAAGAGCACAGTTCAAAGCGAAAAGTTCATGAGAGTTACCTCCAATTAACCAGCAAAAATCAGAAAGTAGAGCTGTGGTTCAAGTGGTACAGTGCTAGCCTCGACAACAACAAAAAGCTCAGGACAACCCCAGGCCTTGAGTTCAAGCCTCAGTACCAGCACACACACACAAATTGTTCTTGATCTGTCCCTGTTCTGCAGGAAGTTTAAGATTGTATTCCTTCCTCCTACTCTTCCTTCCGTTTTAGTCAAAGAGTGGACAGGGTCAGCTGGCAAGTTCAAAAGCTGTGGGAGCATCTAGCCATGTGAGGTAAGTGGGTGCTCACCCCTGTAATCCTGGCTACTCAGGAGGCTGAGACTTGAGGATCCCAGTTGAAAGCCAGCTCAGGCAGGAAAGCCAGTGAGACTTTACTCTCCTCCTAACTGGCAACAAAGTGGAACCAGAGCTGTGGTTCTCGTGGTAGAGCACAGCCTTGCCCAAAAAAGCTAATGAACAGCACCTAGGTACAATGTTCAAGTTTGAGTACTGGCACAAAAATAAATAAGTAAAGCTAGGTGTGAGTGGCTCACGCCTGTCATCCTAGCTACTCTGGAGGCTGAGATCTGAGGATCGTGATTCGAAGCCAGCCCAGGCGGGAAAGTCTAGGAGACTCTTATCACCAATAAACTACTCAGAAAAAGTAGGAAGTCGTGTTATAGCTCAGTGGTAGAGTGCTAGCCTTGAGCAAAAGACGCTCAGGGACCCCCCCAGGCCCAAAGTCCAAGCCCCAGGACTGGCAAAAATATATAAATAAATACATTCTCTATTGTATTTGTACAATACACTTTGTTTATTCTCAGCTAATGGCCACTCTGATTGGTTCTACTGTTTGGCTATCATGAGTAACACTGAACATTTTGTTCTTTTTTTTTTTTTGGTCAGTCATAGGGCCTGAACTCTGGGCCTGGGCGCTGTCCCTCAGCTCTTCAGCTCAAGGCAAGCTCTCTACCACTTGAGCCACAGTGCCACTTCCGGCCTTTTCTGCTTATATAGTGCTGAGGAATCGAACCCAGGGCCTCATGCATGCAAGGCAAGTGCTCTACCACTGAGCCACCTTCCCAGCCCTTGGCATTCTACTACTTGAGCCACATGACCAGTTTTTCTGTTTATGTGGTGCTGAGGAATTGAACCCAGGGCATCATGCATGCAAGGCAAGCACTCTACCACTGAGCCTCTTTCCCAGCCCCTTGTGCATGTTTTTGTGTGGGTGTATATTTGCAGTTTTATTGACTATGTATCTTGGAACAGAATTGTTGGGTAATATGGTAACTCTCTGTTTAACCTTTTGAGGAACTGCTTGACTATTTTCCAAAGCAGTGGCTCCATTTTCCATTCCTCCCAGCACTTCATGCAAGCTCTAGTCTCTCCACATCCTCACCAACTCCTGTTACGATCATTTTACAGTACAGGCATCATGCAGGTGTAGAATATGAAATGCTTAATTTACTATTTATTCAATTTACGTCTCCTTGAAAACGAATGATATCAAGCATTTTTGTGTGCTTATCAGTCATTTGTGTATCTTTGGAGAAATATTCCAAGTCTTCTGCTCACTTAAAAAAATGGAATTGTTCATGTATTTAATGTTGAATTTTAAAATTATATATCTGAAATACTAGGCCCTTGTCAGATTTATGATTTACAAATATAGTCTTTCTTTTTTTTTTCTTATTTTATTAATGGTACCCTTTGAAACACAATTTTCTAATGTAATTGTATCCAGTTTATCTCATTTTTCTTGTTCATGCTTTTGGTATCATATCTTAGAAAATATTGCCCAAACTATAAAGATATGCCTGTTCTCAGAATGTTAGGTTGAACACTTATATTTAAGCCTTTGATATATTTTGAGTCTGTTTTGTGTTTCTTTTTTTGGTTGGTTGGTTGGTTTTTTCCATTCCAGTGTTTGAACTTAGGGCCTTCTCATACTTGCTCAACTTTTTTGCTCAAGGCTGGTGCTCTAACACTTGAGCGGCTTGAGCCTAGTAGTTTGCTGGTAATTGTAGATAGAATCTTACAGACTTTTCTGCCTGGGCTGGCATCAAACTGTGACCCTCAGGTCTCAGCCTCCCAAGCAGCTAGGATTATAGGAGTGAGCCACTGGTACCCAGCTTGAGTTAATTTTATATACCGTATGGGACAGGAGTCGAACTTCATATGTTTACATGTTGTCTGTAGTCACTGAACTGTCTCAGTAATAATCTTTTTTTGAAAATCAATTGTTCATAAATATCTAGACTTATTTCCTTTCATAGCTATGACCATCATCTTCTGAAGAAAAAAGTCACCTGGGATTTTTATTATATAAAATCTGTAGCTAAGGGCTGGGAAGGTGGCTCAGTGGCAGAGCGCTTACCTTGCATGCCTGAGGCCCTGGGTTCGATTCCTCAGCACCACATAAGCAAACAGAAAAAAAAAAGCCAGAAGTGGCACTGTGGCTCAAGTGGTAGAGCGCTAGCCTTGAGCTGAAGAGCTGAGGGACAGCGCCCAGGCCCAGAGTTCAGGCCCCATGACCGGACCCAAAAAAAATCTGTAGATAAATTAGGAAGTATTTATATCATAAAAATAGTTTTTCACAAAAATGTGATGGCCTTCAATTTATATGTGCTTTTACTTTTAAAATGTAATTTTTGACCTAGAATAAATCATGTTGAGGTAAGCCAAACTTAGAGAGGCCAGGGGCACATGTTTTCTCTCATATGCAGAAGTTAGATCTAAAATACACCAGGACACAATAAGTGACACTCATACATGGTGAGACTGAAAGAAGGTCCTCTTAGGGAAGGGACACAAAGGTGCAAGGCCTCCATGCTTCTGATCACATAAAACTGAAATGAACTCTAAGAAATTAATGTAATTTTCCATGGAGTTCGTCAGTTTATTCCTAAGTGTTTTATATGCTATTGTGCTTTCTTTTTTTTTTTTTTGTCAGTCGTGGGGCGTGAACTCTGGGCCTGGGTGCTGTCCCTCAGCTCTTCAGCTCAAGGCGAGTGCTCTACCACTTGAGCTACAGCGCCACTTCCGGTTTTCTGGTGGTTTACTGGAGATAGGAGTCTCACGGTCTCTCCTGCCGGGGCTGGCTTTGAACTGCGATCCTCAGATCTCAGCCTCCTGAGTAGCTAGGTGCTATTGTGTTTTCTTAATATCATCTTTGGAGTATTTATTGCTACTGTATAGAATCCTGTTGTGTTTGTTTATATAAGGATCTTTATCCCACAAGTTTGCTGACTGCATTATTGGCATAGATTTTGTATGTGTGTGTGTGTGTGTGTATGTGTGTGCGTGTGTGTGCACACATGTGCTCATATGCACATGCATGTTCCTTACACTTTTTCTTTAAAGGATAATGCTGTCTGCAAATCTTCCTTTCTAAGCTGGTACTGTTTACATCTTTTCCAGTAGCTCTGCTTACACTTCCATTCACAATATCTAATAGAGTTGTGATGTTTTGTGTTATTTCTGACCTGGTGTGGACAGCCCTCCAACATGTTGGCTGTTATTTGTTTGGCGGTACTGGGTTAAACTCAGGGCCTCTCATGTACTAGACAAGCTTGTGCATGTACTGCATCACAGCCCCAGACTTTTGTTTTTGAATAGGACTCAACTTTAGACCTGGGCTGGCCTGGGTCACAGCCCTCCTTCTTCATTGTGAAGGTAACGGCTCACACTCTGCCCAGGGGCTTGAACACAGGGCCTCATGCTCTTGCTTGGTGTTCTTGCTCATGGCTGGCACTCTACCAGTTGTCATGCCTTCGGTTTCTGGGTGTTTGTTTAATTGGATATAGGAGTCAAACAGCTTTGTTTGTCCAGGCTCACTTCAGGCTGCAATCCTCAGATCTCAACTTTTTGAGTAGCTAAGATTATAGATACACGCCGCCAGGAGAGGTCTCACAAACTTCTTGTTTGACCTGGCCTTTAACTACAGTCCTCCCATTGTCTACCTCCGGAGTATCAGCTGGGATTACAGGCCTAAGCCACCACACCGAACAGCATTTCACAGTTTAAAGCATGACTTAGCTGTCATTTCAGCCTTCAGTAGGTTGAAGCAGTTCTGAGTCACTATACCATAACAGAGTTGGATTTGGTCAGGTGGTTCTTCTATATCTCTTGAGATGGCTACCTAGTTTTTGGTCCTCATCTTAATGTTGTATATGACAGTGACTGATTTTCACATCAATCCATTTGTCCTCAGATAAAGTTCTACCTAGTCATAGTGTAGGTCCTTTGTCCGTAATGACTTTGCACAATTCATGCGAGTTATGTTGAGAATTTTTGCATCTGTTTTCATGAGGGACATTAGTGTGCCTTTCCTTAGATGTGATCTTTTAGCCTGTTTGGGTAGCCAGCCCTGCAGGGGGCGTAGGAAGTAACCTTCTTCTGCGTCTGAAACTCCACAGGAACGGCATCAATTCCCAAGTGTTTGCCAGCGTTTACCAGGAACGCCTCCCAGCTTTTTCTTTGTTGGGAATGTTCTTGATTTTTCTGTCTCATTAAGGTTGTTTTTCAGTTTTCTATGTTTTCAGTTGGTTCTGATGGTTTATGTCTCTCTAGAACCTCTGCGTTTGTCCACGTTACCTAGACATTATCCATTACCTTCTTTGCTACTTTCAAGTTTTCCTCCTTGTGACTGAAAGTGGAATGTTTATTGTTGGTTCTAGTGTACCGCGTTACTGTCACCAAATGCAGATATCAGCTTCTATGTTAGGATCTGGAGGTGAAGTGGGCAGGTTGCCGATTTCCTCCTGTCTTGCCGGCCGGATACCATTGTTGAGTTCCCATGAGAAGAGACATGAAATCCCTTTGTTACTTAGTGGCGTGTTGTGAGTAGGTCGCACGAGAAGCTGTTATTTTCTGTTAATGATGTCGATGCTAATTGCTTCTAGGTATTCACCTCAAACGGCCCCACAGTGATCATGCCCACCTGGTTCTGCTCTCGAACTTGGTTTCTCCACGTGGGACCATTTGACGAGGGAGGGAAGGTAAGTGCCGTGAAGGACTCAGACCCTTCACCTGGCCCCTTAGTGTCCCCTGTCCTCTCATGCGATGTACACCTATTGCTTCCTAAGCCACGGCTCAGAGACTCACCTCCATGGGGCTGTGTATACCCCCTGATCTACACCTGCTCGGGGGAAGCACCTGGCCTCAAACCCAGCTTATCTCATCCCCGGTGAGCTGGTTGGGGAATGTAGAGTATCTGGTCTAAGAAGTCCTATTCTGGTTGGGGATCTTCTTGCTGTCTCTAGGGACGCAGGAGCTAGGAGCCCTATTCCTGTCTGGGATCCACTCTGGCTGTCTCTAGAGGAGCCCTGCTCCCGTCAGGGGCCTGGGTGTCTTTGCCTACCTGTGGGAAGGGGGAGTCCTGGGCCACACACGCGAGCTCTGCGGTGAGTCACAGGAACCATGCTGGCCGCTAGCCTTGCCACCAGCAGTTATGAGGCCCAGGAATATTCCAGCCCCACGCAGAACCTGTCATGAACCTTACTGGCCACATACCAGCCTACCTTCTTCAAGCCCTTTTTATTCCTGCTCTCTTCCTTGGGGGGCAGTTTTGTGCATAGGTATTGGATTTCTGATTCGTGAGCCCTCCCTCCCCCAAACCCTCAGCTGGTGGTTAGGGTGTGGTTTAGGTCAGAACTTGGGGAGGGGCCGTCTGTGACATAGCTTGGGGCTGTTGTTTTTGTAGGGGAAGAGGTAGGTTTTAACCCAGGATGCTTACTTAGTTCCTGTTTAAGTTTCACTGTCATTCTGGACAGTTTTCCAGTTCCTGGCTCAACATCGCCCCTTCTGCCACTCTGATGAAATGCAGCCCATCCTGGACCCCTGCCTGGGTCCAGGACTCCTGGAGAGCTGCGACCTGACTTGTGTTTCCTTCTGTCTCAGGGACCATGCCTCTGGATTCTCACCACAAGTGTCCTCGGCATCTTGCCAGGGCTTCCCAGTCATTCAGCTTGGCCTCTCCTCTTCTCTCAGTGCTTGAGCTGCTGGTGCTCAGGACATGGTGGCTGAGGCTGCCTTCCTCCTCTTGAGATGTGTCTGTGGTTAGCATGCAGTGTTTGTCCTAAGAGCTTCTGTGTCCCACAGAGTGTCCGTTAGGGCAGAATTAAGATATAGACCCACCTGTCTCTCCTCTGTCCCACATCTTCTCTGGCCTGTCTTAGGGAGAAAGTCAATTGCTCATCTCTTTTTGACCCTGCATTGCCACATCACTTTTGATCCTCCAAAATTGTTTTCCTGTTGCATCTTTTCTTTGTTTTTTGGTCCAGCGGCGGCGGGGGGGGGGGGGGGGGGGGAGCGTTGAACTCTGGGCCTGGGCGCTGTCCCTCAGCTCTTCAGCTCAAGGTGAGCACTCTACTGCTTGAGCCACAGCACCACTTCCGGTTTTTGAGTGGTTTATTGGAGATCAAGGACTTTGCTGCCCGGGCTGGCTTTGAACTGTGGTCCTCAGCTCTCAGCCTCCTGAGTAGCTGGGGTGACAGCGTGAGCACCGCACCCAGCTCTTTTCTTTTTTTGAGATAGGTTCTCACTATGTTACCAGGCTGGCCCTAAACGTGTCAGCTCAAGCAAATATCTTCCACCTTGGCCTCTTGAGTATTTGGGACCACACCTGGCTCAAAGCTAGTTTCTTGGCAACAAGAGCATCCTTCTGTCCCTTGCTGATAGCTGGGGTGGGCTGGTGCAGCTGGTGAGTGCGCTCTCCTTTGGCTCCTGCAGGGTGTGCCGGAGGACCTGCTGTTCTTCTACGAGCACCTCAGGAAGGGGGGGTGGCGTCTTCCGGGTGGACCACAGCCTGCTCCTCTACCGCTACCACCTGTGTGCAGCCACACACTCTGTCCTTGAGTAAGTCGGTCACGCCTGGTTCTAGAAGCTCTCTGGGGAGGCTGCCATAGACCTGGTCTGGTAGGCAGCCAGTGTCCCCTCAAGGAGGCAGTGTTGGGGTGTAGAGGTCATGACAGTCCTTGGAGGAAGTGCAGGGTCTGAAAGACCGGCCCTGCCCTGGCTGTGTGAGGTGGAGCCATGGCCACACGAGGTGAGCCGGCCTCATGGGGGCACAGGCCTTCGTTGGGCGGTGGTGGGAGCCATGGTTGGACCTCAGAGACTCTACTCACAAGCCCTGGACACTCATGCCTTGGTCTGGGTGTCACAGGCTGCGACTGAACCGCATCCTCCGCTAGAGGCATCCTGGCAGGGCGTGGGGACCTATCTCCAGTGGGCCAGGGAGTCCAGCCAGCCCCCCTTGCTCTCCGCCATGTGCCAGTCCCATTTCTGGCCTAGCATGTGCCCAGGGCATCACTCCAGGGGAAGGCGAAGGGGAGGGCAACTCTGTGTGGGGTAGGGGAGGTGTCTCACGGTTGTGTGTGTGACAGGAAGCTACTGGCTGTCAGGTGCTGGCCTCATGGTGCTGTAGGCTGGCCTTGGGGTGTCCCCTGACTATGAGGAGCTGGCTCATGCTGACCCCACTCCTGTCCAGGATGGGACTCCCTGAGTAAGAGCCATCTCCCTGGTGTCTTGACATCTACAACAGGGCCGCAACTTGAAGGTTATAATTGTGTTGTGTACAGGAAGACTCAGATGTGCCTGCCACCCTTCGTTAAGCCTGAATTTGGTGCAGCTGCCCTAGAACACTAGCTTGCTGAGAATTACCCTAGATTTGACATGTGCTGACGGGACCTATACAGTTAGGAAGGTGTTCAGCAGGAAGAAGAGAGAATCAAATAGGGACTGGAAAACAGGAGAAGAAAAAAATCAAGAGTTGGTTATTTGAAGCCGGGCAACTGTGGCTCACACCTGTAATCCTAGCTAATCTCAGGAGGCTGAGATCTGAGGATAGAAATTCAAAGCCAGTCTGGGCACCAAAGTCTGAGAGACTCTTACCTTTAATTAACCACCAGAAGACTAGAAATGACACTGTGGTTCAAAGTGGTAGAGCACTAGCCTTGAGCAAGAGAGCTCAGGGACCACACTCAGGCACTGAGTTCAAGCCCCACGACCAAGAAAAAAAAAAAGAGTTGGTTATTTGAAAAATAAGATTGATAAACTTTTAGCAAGACTGATTTTTAAAAACCACAAATTTGCCATTATTGAGCATGAAAAAGGGACAATTATTGCTGATATCACTAATATTTTTTAAATAATTAAGTTAGTAAATTAACTTTTTAAAAAGAAGAGTTGGATCATGTGGCATTACTGATGTCTTCTACCAAAGTATAACAACATTGTGGCTCCAATCTTAAGCAAATGCTTCCAGGAAATGAGAAGTGAGATTTACCAGGTGTTAGAAGGGAAGCCAGCTTACTGCTTAATGATGTCACAAGTCTGATGTCAAAATGTACAAGGACATAATAGGAGGATGAGTTACAGACTAACGCCTCTGATGCAAACGTAACTCAGAATACCAGAGGGTCAGGTCCAGGAGCACAGAGGGGAAGGTAACGCAGCAGGAACACAAGTCTGGTTTAACAGGCAAAATCAAGCATTACAGTTTACTGCTTGAGCAGAATAAAAGAAAAATCACAAGATCAACTCAGTAGATACAGAAAAAGCATATGACAAGATTTAATATCCATTTGTGGTATTTTTAATTCAGAAAACTAGAAATAGGAGAGAACTTTCTCAGTCTGTTACACCTCCAAAAAGCTGTAACTTGGGCTGGGAAATTGGCTCAGTGATAGAGCGCTTGCCTCAGGGCCCTGGGTTCGATTCCTCAGCACCACATAAGCAGAAAAAAGCTGGAAGTGGCACTGTTGCTCAAGTGGTAGGGTGCTAGCCTTGACCTGAAGAGCTGAGGGACAGTGCCCAGGCCGAGAGTTCAGCCCCCACGACTGACAAAAAATAAAAATTTAAAAAATCTGTAACTTCAAACTTAAAATAGTTACATCTGTGCAAATCTTGTCAGAAGTCCTCTGGTGGTGACTCTTAGTCTGCCTTTTTGTTTTAAATTGAGAATGACCTGTATTTGCATCATTTAGCATTTTTGTAGGAGATACTGAACATACACCAAGACATGAAAGAATAACTTCTGGAAAATTAAACACTGCCCCTGTTTGTGAACTCCTGAGCCAGACACCACTAGACACTGGTGCGGCCCTTGGGTCTCACCAGACAGCACGCTTCACCATGTGCTTGCCTCTCTGTAAGCCAGCTCCTCTGGCACCGCCTTTGAGATGTGCAGCCCTCACCCCATGCCACCCGGAAGGATTGCTACTCATCCGAGGGCGGACTCGGAACAGCTTCGGCCCTTCCCCATCCACTAGCCTGCCAGTGCCTTGGGCCTTGGCGTCCAGATCTGCAGCAGTATTTCCTCCTCTTCATAAACAGCCTGGACTCTACAACACTTCCTTTGTATATTAAGGCAGATTGTATATTCTGAACCCTTGGAGCTGGTTGTGGAGCCTGTGTACCCAGACAAGCTGCCCACGCTCCTAGGACCCTCTGAGACGTATGCTCTGTACAGTGACATGTCCACAATGCTGTTCTGATAATGCTGACAGCCTCTGGCTGCTGCCCTTGGCTGCTTCTTCCCCTAAGACTTAGCAGGAAGAGAAAGGCAAACAGAGTTTCTGAGATGAGCATGAGACACAGATAGGTTCTTGCCAATATGAAGATTTGTTCACCCTGACTGTTTCCAAATCTCTCCTTCGTGTAGTGGTGCTCAGCAGGGCAAGCGTGTGAAGGGGGTAGGCCCAGCGAGCGTGTGGGCGAGTGGGCGGCCCCAGCACCACACAGGCTGCCCAGCACCACACAGGCTCCCAGGCATCGCAGCCATCAGAGGCGAGTGGGTGGCCCCAGCACCACACAGGCTGCCCAGCACCACACAGGCTCCCAGGCATCACAGCCATCAGGGGCGAGTGGGCGGCCCCAGCACCACACAGGCTCCCAGCACCACACAGGCTCCCAGGCATCGCAGCCATCAGGGGCGAGTGGGCGGCCCCAGCACCACACAGGCTCCCAGCACCACACAGGCTCCCAGGCATCGCAGCCATCGGGGCAGGTCTCTGTGACCTGCCTTCCTCCACCTTTCGACCACAACCCACCACATGGTCTTTATTGGCAGAGTAGAGCAAGATTAAATCAGGATTTTCCCTCCACAGGGATAACTAAGGGACTCTGCTCCGTGTGGATAGGTCAGAAACAGATCATCTGAGTGTCAGAGCTACTCTTGCACAGATGCGCACACACCTGCACACACCTGCACATACATATGCTGCAATGCATGCATAGCACACATGTGCATGTACATGTGTCACACTAAACACGCCGCTGCACATGTGCACAGCGCACATGCACATATAAGGCATTTGTGTGAGGGTCCCACAGGCCCTGCTTTGCCTGGAGCCCTCACCCTTCCTATCAGAGCCCAGCCACAGACATGCATGTCCTGTGCTCCTGGCTGACGCAGGGTCTGGGGCGCCAGTGCACCCTCTGGCTATCTGCTTGCCGTTGACCACCCAGCTGCCTTTTATTCCTCACACTGGGTACCTCTAGAACCACCTCTGCAGGAAAGGTGTCCTTGGCCCTGGGTGTGGCTCAAGTGGTATAGCACTTGCTTAGCAAATGGGCAATCCTAGGCTGGACCCCCAATACAGCATAAAAGGGTGGCCCTTTCTTGTTGGGAGCTGATTCTTTCCTTGTGAAAGATTTCACCCATTAGACCTGAACTGTGAGGCTCAGGCTGTCTTACCTGTGAAAGGTCCCACCTCCCTGGTAAGTGGAAGCTGTGCACACATGGCTGTGCAGAGGGTATTTTATAGGGACTAAAGTGTGTCCTGCATGTCCAGTTCTCCCAGAAGTGAGATGCGAGAGCCACAGCCCAGCTTAGCACGCTGTCGCCTCCCTGCACTGTGCCTGCAGCCCAGCACAGCCCTAACTCTGCGTGCCAGTGCCTGATGTGAGTACAAGGATCAGCACAGGAGCATGTCCAGGGCCCTGCATGGGTACAGTGTGGCACACCCCAAGGGCATGCGTGACACCAGCCAGGGACTAGCGCTGTGAACAGGGCCGGAAGGGGCTGGCTTCGCACTGGGTCAGAAGGCTGGAGGGGCCCCAGGACATGGGAAGGAGGCCTGTCCAGGGAGCCATGCTCATGGCCCTGCTGGGGAGAGGGGACAGGGTCAGGGGGAGATTGCCTATCCCAGGCAAACAGACATGTTTCAAGGAAGGAGACATCTCTGAAGTGGCCCTAGGGGGATCATAGCTTATTTTGGGCAGGGACCCTGAGATGGGTGTGAAATGTGACTTCGAGTGGTGGGGTAGGGTATGGCCCCTCCCTCACACAGGGACTTCTCTGGGAAACTGGACTGGGTTTGACCAACGGCACACCGATCCTTCTTAAGCTTGTGATTCACCATGACAGAGATGCTGGGCCTTTCCTGTGTACCTGATCACATCAGGTAGAGAGGAGACACGCACTGGAGCCACTGTGCACAGGGCGCAGCGTGGGGAGGGAGGCCCTCCTTCAGGACAGAGCGGGCGTTCCGTGTGGAGAACCCCCGCCCAGCTCCCTGGGGCTTCACTCTTTGCATGGGGCTCACCAGGAGGCTTCTGGTGACTGGCTTTGTCAGGGAGCCCGACATTGTGTCAGGTCTGACGTCCACCCCACACCAGCCAGGTGAGCCTCAGTAGTAGGCATGAATCGTACCTCTGTGTGTCCCCAGGTCCAAGAGGCAGCCCTGACCCTAGAAGGCCTGGCTGGCACCAGCTGTCCTTTCTCTGTTGCAGGACGACCATCTGGACTCACCGTGTCCACTTCCTGGAGGAGCAGGCCCTACCTCGCTGGGCCTCCTTCACCATCTGGAATGCAGGCAAGCAGGGACGCAGGCTGTACCGCAGTCTGACTGCTGCCAACCAGCGCAAGGTGAGCCTGTCCTTCCCCGCCCTCCCCGGCAGCACAGAACAGGCCCTGGAGCTGCTGGCCTTGCTCACCCAGGTGGCTGCCTTCTGTGACGTGGACAAGAACAAGATCCAGAAGGGCTTCTACTGCTACGAGGAGGCACAGGTGTGTGGGCTCACCACTCCTGGAGGGTTCAGTGCTGTGGGAGACTCGTGTGTGTGACTCACAGGGCTGGGTGTCCTGTCAGCCCACCACCAGTTGTTCTGTAAGATTGCTCAAGACCCCCGTCCTCCACCTTGAGTGCTTCAGGGACCCTCTATCATGAGGCGCCTGAGTGACCCTGGCTGGCACATCTTCCCTCCAGGAAAGGCCCAAGCCTCAGATCCCCATCCTGCACTTCCGGGATGCACGGCCACCCTTTGTCATCTGTGTGAAGCTGGTGAGTGTTGGATACGGCTGCCGGGCTCCTGGATGGCAGGCTTGGGGCGTCTTCCTCCCTGACTCTGTGCCTGGGGCACGGCTCCAGCTGCTCAGCTATGGACGTGGGACATACCGCCCAGCTGTTGCTGCCTGGGCAGGCCCCCAGGCTCCCGGGGGTCCTGGTCACCAGGGCCTGGGCTCCTTGACATAGCGGCAGCACGCCTCTGGCCACAGGCGGTTGCTGTCGGCTCCTGATCCTGCTCTCACGTGTAGTTGTTAGTCTGCTCTGCACACAGGTCCACAAGTAGGTCAGGTGTGGCAGACACAGCTTCCCTGGGTACTCTGCTCTTCACAGATTTCTTTTTGTTCCAGTTCAGGGCTTGAACTAAGGGCCTATGCTAGCACTTTACCAATTAAGCCTCAGCTCTACTTCCTACCTTTTAGGTGGCTACTTGGAAATAGAGTCTGATGGACTCTCCTGCCTGATTCTCCCCTCTCAGCCTCCTGAATAGCTAGGATTACATGCAGATGTGTCTCTAGTGCAGCAGCTGCTGCTTTTATAATGTCATTTTAGTGTCCTATGTAGGAAGTTCTTTTCCACACCTAACCTCGTTTGTTAATGCAAAATGTTTTTTGCATTGGAGCCAAAATTTTCCCCTTCCATTTGGACATCAAATTGTCCCAACTTCACCTACTGAGAAACTGCTTTTCTGATAAGGAACATCACCACTCTATGCTGGCCAGGTCACAAGGTCTGTCATGGACTCTGGTCTGGACCAGTCCTGTACCTCATGAGTCAGCATCGTGATTCACTGAGAGCCGTACCGTGGCAGCAGGCTGATCTTCCTTATTCTAGAATTCTTTCTCTCTCTTTTTCCTTTTCGGTCATGGGGCTTGAACTCTGGGCCTGGGCGCTGTTCCTGCGCTCTTCAGCTCAAGGCGAGCGCTTTACCGCTTGAGCCACAGCTCCACTTCCGGTTTTATTGGAGATGAGTCTCACGGACTTTCCTGCCCGGGCTGGCTTTGAACCGTGATCCTCAGAGCTCAGCCTCCTGAGTAGCCAGGATGACAGGCATGAGCCATGGTGCCTGGCTGCATTCTTTCTTTTTTTCTTTTTTGTCAGTCATGGGGCTTGAACTCTGGGCCTGGGCGCTGTCCCTGTGCTCTTCAGCTCAAGGCCGAGAGCTCTAGCGCTTGAGCCACAGCACCACTTCCGGTTTTATTGGAGATGAGTCTCACGGACTTTCCTGCCCGGGCTGGCTTTGAACCGAGATTTTCAGATCTCAGTCTCCTGAGTAGCTAGGATTATAGGCGTGAGCCACCAGCGCCTGGCCTCTCTCTTTTAAATTGGTTTATTGTGAACCATAACAGTGCAGAACGTGGCCCGCAGCTGAGGTCTGGCCCTCCGCCTGTTTTGTAGATAGTTTTGTTAGAGCCCAGGGACATGAACCCCCAAGCCGTGTGTGAGCCCCCGGCCCCTGCTGTTCTGGGTCGCGGTGTCATCCAGGGGCAGAGGGCTCACTGAGCAGCGCTGCCGGGGAAGGGGCCCATGCGGCAGGGAGACACAGCACCCCACCTTCGCAGGCTGGCTTTTGGCGGTCATCACAGCACAGGGCACATCCACCTCCCTGATCACACAGTGGGAAGTGGTGTCAGGCTCATCGTTCAGCACATCTCACTTAGGTCACATCATTGTCAGGGACCAGGCCTGCTCCCCCTCCCGAGAGGAAGTGCCTGCTGCGGGAGTGTCAGGTGTTTAACAGCGATGCCCTCGGCAGAAGCTCCTCCCTGGGGGGCCACAGGCCGGACCCTCAGCTCACTCCCACCCCCTCCCACCTCTGTGTGTGACTCCGAGTCAGGCTCTCCTTGTCTACTAGACTGTCTTCTGGAAAGTTCTCTGCCCCTCTGGATGCTACTCCGTCTTGGCTTTGAGTCTCACAGATGCCTCCATGTGGTGGCTGCCATTTCATTCAGTCTCGTTTAAGAAGGTGCCCCGCCCAGTGTCCTCTGCAGGTGGGTTGGGGAGGTGAGGTGTGAGCCAGTGGACAGAATAGCTTTCCCCCAAGAGTTTCTGGCCACAGTTCACTGGAGACAGCAGTGGTGACGAGGAGGGCAAGGCCAGGTCCGGCCAGGACGCCCGTGCCAGCACAGCAACCTCCAGGAGGCGGCCCAGGACGCCCGTCCACCATTGCTCAGCTCTTCCTTCCAGAGCTACGTCCTCTCTGGTTAAACCTGCTGGAATTGCCATGCATAGGACGAGTGTGTGGGGCCCCAGGGTCACAGCACTTGCTCTGCTGTGGGACAGGTGTGACAGCGGAAAGGGGGCCCCAGAAATAGGGGAGGAGCGCAGGTCAGCCCCAAACAGCTGGTAGGGCTGTCAGCGGTCTTGTTTGGAGGCCGCTGCCAGACCAGGCATCCCCAGCCCCCGCCAGTGTCGGTGCTAGAACCTAGTATCAGCAGCAACACGGCGCCCCTGGCCCGTCTCCTATTAACAGGAGCCAAGTTCAGTGTACGTGACAGGCACAGGTGACCCCAAACCCAAGCCCTCACTGTAGCCCCTGCAGGAGCCCCAGGGAGCAACTTGATCTCCCCCACAGGATCTCACTGGGGGTGCGTTTGAGGACAACCTGAAGTCACTGCACCTGCAGGAAGGCCGGGACTTCCTCCACTTCAGCTGAGTCAGGCGGCGGCCACCCCAGGTGGGTCTCGGAGCCGCCACTTGCGTCTCAGCAGCAGCGCTGTCTTTCTGCTTCCTTGGCCTCTCCCTGCCTGCTCCACATGCTCAGCCCTTCTTTTATGCGTCCAGTGTCCGAGCCCCTCCGCGCCCTCAGATGGACGCCCGGGCTGTGCTCCACCAGACTTCTACATTGCATCACGCGCTGTTTGCACTGTAGTTCTTTTATACTTTTTAAAAGTCTGTGTTATCACCAGGCACCGGTGGCTCACGCCTGTCATCCTAGCTACTCAGGAGGCTGAGGTCTAAGGACTGCGGTTCAAAGCCAGCCCAGGCAGGAAAGTCTGAGAGACTCTTATCTACAATAAACCACCAGAAAACCAGAAGTGGCGCTGTGGCTCAAGTGGTAGAACGCTAGCCTTGAGCTGAAAAGCTGAGGGTCAGCGCCCAGGCCCAGAATTCAAGCCCCACAACCAAAAAAAAAAAGTCTGTGTTACAAAATGTGAGTTCTATGTTCTAGAAATATCCATTAGACCAAGCTTTTCTTCATTTCCAACTTGGTAGTTTCCATGATGTGCATGGGCCAGTGAGCTAGCTGGGCTCTGGGCTCACTAGACAAGTGCGTTACCAGCTGGGTCTCTTGCTTAGTTTTTGAGTTTCAGGCTGGCCTTGAACCATGACCTTCCTGTCTCTATCTCCTGAATGTTCCACTGTACCAGCTGCTTTGTTTGCTTATTAAAACCACAGTCTCCTCGTACAGATCCTCCCAGGTGTGTGCCCCTGCCCAGCCCAACCTCGGTGCCCGCCATGGCTGTGGCAGGTCCGGGAGGACACTGCCCCGTCCCCCGCATCCAGGCAGCTCCTCTTTACCAGCACGGCCTGAGCTTCTCAAACATGTGGAATAGGTGTCTCCTACGTCGAAGGCTGTATATGTGGTTTTGCCAGCTGCGAAAGGTGTATTTTCTCTGCTGTCTTACTTGGTGCATTTTGTGTGCACTTCTGAGCCAGCAAGCCTTTACCCTTTACTTTTTTTTTTCCCCTTGAGTATTGGGATTTGAACTCAGGGCTTCATACTTGCTAAGCAAGTGCTCTACTGCTTGAACCATGCCCCAGCCCTTTTTGCTTTCTTATTTTTCTCTCGTAGAGTCTTGCATTTTTTTGCCTAGGCTGGTCTCAGAACTTGTCATCTTCCCACTGTCTACCTTCCAAGTCACTGGGATTACAAGAGAGCGCCACAGTACTCACTCCTGGACCTGAAATCATGCTCTTTAATGGGGACGTTCCAAGTGTGCGAACACACTTACTGCCACCGTTGCAAGTTCGCAGTGGCGTTGCCCCGCTTTTGCTGTCAGGCTTCGGTGGTGTCTGTGTCTGTTAGGCCTTTTCTCTAGTGCACACTAGCCCCGCTCAGGATGGCTCTTGGCAGGTCAGCAGCTGTACCTAGCCACACCCATGGCTGGATTCTCTCGCCTTAGAACAAAGGACATGAGACGCCTTCCTGCCGTGTCTGTCCACCGGAAGGAATTCCGCATGCCAAGGGGCCACATTTAGCGATCATGCTTTTTGTTCACAGTCTTTACTGCTCTTTGTTTAGCATCTTGTCAGTGAGACTAACGGGATCTCCCCTCTGTGGTTTTTAGCTGAGGACAAGTGTGCACCAGAACACGATACTTCTGAGTGTCCGGGACGCTGCTAAGCAGGCTACAATGCAAAGAATTAAGAAAACACCATGAGCCGGGCGCCGGTGGCTCACGCCTGTCATCCTAGCTACTTGGGAGGCCGAGATCTGAGGATCACAGTTCAGAGACAGCTGGGCAGGAAAATCCAAGGCTCTTTAATTAACCAACAGAAAAATGGAGGTGAAGCTGTGGTTCAAAGAGGTAGAGAGAAAAAGCTCATGGACAGTACCCAGGCCCTGAGTTTAAGCCTCATGGGAAGGAAAGGCGGGCAGGCGGGCACCATGAGTGGAAAAGCCCTGTTCTCCTGAAAGACTATTCTGCCCTCTTTCTCGAGCCATTCTGAGGAGCTCTGGACTTCCCAGGACACTCAGGGGAGCCGGACCTGGCCCGGACCCCAACCCAGCCAGAAGCGCTTCAGAATGTATATGCATGTGGACCCACACAGGCGGCTTTCGCCTGGGGTCCTCCTGGGGCTTGGGCTTGCTTTTGGTTCTGGAACTTGAACTTAGGGCTTTGGCTTACTGGGCAGGCCTCTACCCGAGCCCTTCTTTGTAACTGTCGTGTTGAAGTGGTGTTACTTTCTGCCTAGACCCATGCGTGGACCCCAGTCCACCTACTTTACTATTCCTGTCACAGCTGGGACAGGATCCACCACCGTGCCCAACTTCTTCCGTTATGAACACAGCTGAATGACAGGCATTCGACACCACACTCACGGTTGAGAAGAGTAGCAATCACTGCGTCTCACTAGGCTCACTTTAAACGCGATCCTCAACTTCAGCCTCCCAAAGATTATAGTCTTAGCTTGTCCCTTCACCAATGCGTTAGTGTGTCAAAGTTGCTTAACATTTTCTCTCAGCTAAACCTCCATCTTACTCCTTCCCTCAGGCCTCCATGCCCTGGCACAGCTCTGCGTCCATGCGGTCATCCCACTGGGACTGCCACACCTAACTGCGCAGAGCGCTGTTCTGAGGCCCCTCCTAGCCTTGCTTGTTTCCAGCTGTTCCTTGTAACTTGTACCCAAGCTACACACTGACCTTTTTCTCTATTACTTCTCTCATTTTCTGTTACTAAGAGCTCTTTGCTATTGTCTAATCTCTGACCATTTCTACCCCTTTGATGGATGTGTGTGTGTGTGCGTGCACACACGTGCAACCACTCCTGGGTCTTGAACTCAGAGCCTGGACACTGTCCCTGAGTTCTGCTCAAAGTTAGTGCTCTATCACTTCAGCTCTACTTCCAGCTTTTTTTTTTTCTTTCACCAGTCCTGCAGCTTGAACTCTGGGCTTGGGCGCTGTCCCTGAACTCTTCAGTTCAAGGCAAGCGCTCTACCACTTGAGCCACAGCGCCACCTCTGGTTTTCTAGTGGTTAATTGGAGATGAGTCTCACGGACTTTCCTGCCTGGGCTGGCTTTGAACCATGAGCCTCCTGAGCTGGGATTATAGGTGTGAGCCACCAGCACCCAATCCCCTGAGCTAGTGCTCTACCACATGAGCCACAGTTCCACTTCTGGGTTTTTCTGTGTATGTGGCACTGAGTAATCAACCTCAGGGCTTCATGCATGCTAGGCAAGCACTCTACCACTGAGCCACAGTCATAGCCCCACTTCTAGCTTTTTTAGTGGTTAATTGGGGATGAAAGTCTCATGTCCTTTCTTGCTTGGGTGATCTCAGATCTCCACCTCCTGAGGAGGAGTACAGACATGAGCCACCAGCTCCAAGTTCTATCTCCTTTGCTTTAAAAAAACCAAAAACCCCAACAAAACATACATGTAGTTGTGTGCCTGGAATGATCCGCAGAGTGAGGCTGTGGCTTCCGTGTCCTTGTGTTCTCTACAGAGGAGCCCAGGCCCCGAGGAGACTTGCCACCTCTGGAGTGTGGGCTCAGGCGCTATGCAGAGGTCTGGGAGGTGTGGTGTGGTGTGGCTGTAGTCTGGACGGGGGTACGGCCGTCTGATGTCCATTGCGATCGTGTGTGGGTCTCCCAGTGGCTTTGGGCTGGCGCCTTTCGTGCTGTCAGTGTGACGCAGGCCCCAGCCCGGCTCCAGCCACACAGCTCCAGGCCCCCATGTGGCCCTGGCTCCTCATGCCCACCTTCCTAGCTGGTCGCCTTCCTGCTCTGTGGACTTGGGGCCAGCTCACCTCTGGCCGGGCCTGTTTTCTTCTCTGCCACAGGCTCCTACCCCCGCGTCAAGAACTTCCCCAGAAGACGCTCTGCTGTGCCACCCGCTGTCTGTCCTGGCAGCCATCAGTGTGGACACCGTCAGTTGCCACCACGGTCCATGCTATGCAAGTCCATCCTGGCTGCCGTCCCAGGAACAGGCTCAGACACCCGGCTGCAAGAACCAGGGGCTGCTGAGGGTGGGAGCGGCCTGCCAGGTGACACCAGAGTGTGCCAGGGTGTCGCCGACGCCTTGTGTGGCAAACTGACCACGCTCCATGCCTTAAAAGGCCTCTGGGGAGCAGAGAGGGTTTTTCTGTTTTCAACGAAGGCTGTGCTTTCTTTTCCTCAGTAGTCACCTGCTCTGTCCTAGCAGAAAGGACAGCACACCCTCACATGTGGCGTAGCTGTGCCTGGCCACGCGGCCCGTCATTCACCTGGGACAGGAACCTACCAGCCGCCACGAAGCATGTGAAACCCGGCTCGGGACAGGGGTCCCACTCCAGGACGGAGGCCACTGGCCTGACTGGTGGCTTACTCCAGCCCTGGAGGGTGGCCCCTGGGAGCCAGCAGACGGCGCCACGCTTGTCAGGCCTGGCCAGCTCACCTCGGTCAAGTGACTGGACACACTTGGCTTTCGCAGAGGGCTGGGTATCAAACTGCCCGCCTCAGTCCTGGGCTCCCAGCTCCGTGATCTTGCTCGTATGTGGGTAGCATCTCCAATTCTGCTCCCACCATCCCTGTGTCTGACCTGTGTTGCCCAAAGACGAGCTGCCCTTGACTCCAAGGCCTGCCCCGGCAGCATTCTGAGCAGGAGGAGCTGGAGGCCCAGTATCCACATTGCATAGCCTTACATGTCTTCAGGACCAAAACGGTGCACTGAACAACAGGGGAGTCACTACTGCCTCACAAGAGGACACACGGGACTCAGACCCCGTAAAGCTGTCAGGCTGCTCGCCCGGCTGTCAGTGCCCCCTAAACGGGACGGCAGCCACACCCTGCCCACAGCCCCAGTGACAGCATCTGCCCATCCGACAACACCCATCTCTCAGTGCCTGCACCAGCCCTGCCCAGCCTCCAGAGCTGAGGCAGAAGCCTCCCGCAGAAAGCAGTCCCTCCGTCCCACGCTGAGTCTCAACCCCTCACACATCAGCCTCCGAGACAGGCACGCGTGGGCACATGATTTTATGGGAAATGCATCTGTGGGAACAGCAGAAGCAGCTCAGGCCTTGTGGTCACTAGAGCACAGCGCAGCGGCCGCTGTTCGGCACTGGCTTTCTCCATGTTCCAGGGTGCAAGGCAGCCAACACAGCCAGCAGGTTGAGGGCTCAGTTCCCAGGACCAGCCTCAGCAGCAGCATGCTGTAAGAGAGACCGCAGCGTCAGGGAGATCTGCCCCCCTGGACTTGAGCCGGGAGGGTGGCAACGGGTAGCCGGGGCCCCAGCCACACGGCAGGGGGAGACTGGGAACCTCCCGGCCCTGGCAGGGGCACACGCGGTGTCGGAGCCGGGGCAGCGGCACGGGTCCGTTACCTTGGGTACCAGCTGGGGTCTGGGCACAGCGAGGAGGTCACACAGGTGATTCCGCCGCTCCCTCACCACGGCCAGCTTGGCATCCCTGAGGGAGGACGTGTGGGACTCAGCCTGCACGGGCCTCGGCACGGTAGCTGCATCGTGCAGGCTCCACTGCTCCAGACCGATGCCCAAGGCGGACTTGGGGAGCCCAGCCAGACACAGCGTGGGGGACACCCGGCTCTGCTCAAAGGGCTTCAGAAACCTTTGCACTCTATCCAGTACCGACAGTGACTACTGAGCAAAGCCATGCTTCTGTGATGAGGTCTCTGAATTCCCTGGCAGGAAGGAGCTCCAAGCACTGCTGACTGACATCTGTCCCTTCTCTGCATTTTCTTAAGCTACTTCAGCTTTGACCCAGAGTGTGACCTCTGAAACCTGTTCCCCAGCACCCCAGGACCCTCACAGGGAAACAGGGATGGCAGCGGTGGCTGCGGTCACCTGAGTGTGAGAGCCTGCACCTGCCCAGGACCGGTGGTGCCCACCTGTCCTGCCCAGAGCCAGCAGCTTTCTCTTTCTCTGTTTTTCTGAAGCCCAACATCCCGGGGGGGGGGGGGGGGGGGGGGTCCTTAGCCACAGCAGAGCCTGACTGGCATTACAGGAAGAGAACCACAACCAGCTTCTGAGAGGCAGGGGTCTGAACCACTCACGGCCAACGACTGGGAGAAAACTGTATGCTGAGTGTTTCCCTGCTCCAAGCCCGGGAGGTGCCGGCCTTTCCCCCTCCCCTTTGGAGCTATGGGGAAAGATGAGCATCACTGGGTCGGAGCCCACTCACCAGGCCGTGTCACTGAGCACAAGCATGACCTCGTCCACAACGTCATCTGCCACCACGTTGCTGTAGGTGAGCACCATCTCATAGATCTGGCTTGCTGCCGACTTCCGGACCTGGAGCAGGGAGAGACTTATCAGGAGGAGGAAATGGTACCATCCAGGGAGTCGGTGTGCCTCAACAGAGCTGGCCTTGGACCCTGGCCACCGAAGGATGTGTGGTGGAGGGAAGGACGAGAACTAGGCAGGGACTCCCCCAGCACAGGCATGGTGGCACCCGCCCGGCGGCAGCTCCCCGCCCGGCAGCAGCTCCCCGCTCTGCTAGCTCTAGCCCACCATTTCTCACAGTCCCAAGTAGAGTAAGCGGGCACACCACCATTCCGCCTGGAAACCACTCCTACCTTTTGGGAAAACACTGTCTGGGTGATTAAAGGTTAACGGGAAAAAGGAATCCTGAGAAATTTAATCCTAGGTAAAAGCTGGGTCTCGATGTGTGGCGGTATCCACTGGGACTGGCCTCAGCCTGGAATGCTCCAGGGTCCAGGGGCTGGGCTGGCAGGCCACACTCAGCAGCACCTTTCTGTCCCCATAACACAGTGCAGCTGACCCCAAACCTGGGGTGGCCCAGCCGTGGGGCTCCTCTTCACAGCATATCATCACACCCACTCCACTTCAGAGCCGCCTGCGTCAACACAGCCCGCATCTGCGCAGGCCACTGGTGTGGCCCACGATCCAGGCACACGCTCTCCACGGGGAATGGGTGGCAGAGACCACGTGGCCCACGATCCAGGCAGACACTCACCACGGGGAATGAGTGGCAGAGGAGAAGCAAGAGCTGCAGAAGGACCTTGTTCCTCACGTCGCCGTGGAATTGCACCATCCCACAGAGCCTGCAGAAAGCCCACCAGGTGATCAGAGGTTGCACAGCCAGCTCACAGGCTGAGTGCACAGGAGACCCAGGAGCACACGGCCCAGAGCTCTATGTATGCGTGCATGAGTGTACACATATGCACACCATGATGGGCATGCCTCTGGGTACACCTGTGTGCCTGTGAACACACTTCTGTACACACATGTGCCATGTGAACCAGTGTGTGTGAATACCAGACAGGGAAGCAGCCCGAGTCAGGGAGACATCTCAGAAGAGATCAGCAAGGAGCCTACCCGACCCGTGGTGACCCGCTGGCCCTTGGGAACCTGTGGGACCACTGAGGCACTGGCCACTGGTCAGCGTGACCTAGTAGACCATCTGAGCTCTGCTGATCAAAGCCTGAAAAACATCCAGGGCCGGGGTGGGCGGGCTGCACACATCAGGACAGCACTGAGCACACCCCACTCTGCTGGGCAGTCCAAGCCTTCTGCTGGCCCCCGCAAGGACCCCACTGGCCACGTAAATTACTGCCGTCTTACGTGCACAGCTGACTTTGGAGCCATGAAGCCCCTTCAGAGGCTGACAGGCCAGGAGCATGTAGAACTCACACTGCAATGCTTGAGCGTAGTTTCTGGATGTCTTTGGACTTCTTGATCTCCTCCTTACAAAGTGCAAGCAGCTGTACACAGAAGGGGTGGCTGTAAGAAGAACAGGTTATTCTGGAGCACAGCCGCCACGACCAAGGAACAGCAGCCAGCCAGCTGACAGGAACTGGCGCTGCGGTCCCACATCCCTGGAGGGCAGATGCCCGCTGGGTCCCTGCCGATGACCACCGCCACCCTCGCCAGCCAGTGCTCACTGCACAGCAGGCTGACCTCAGCATGGCTTCCATGTGGGCACAGACGCTCAGGTGGCTGTGGCTGGCTGAGACCGTGCGGTGCGCGCCTTCTGTCTACCTCCACCCACCAGGGGCTGCGGCACACCGCCCATGACAGCCACTCCCACCACACCCAGCCCAAGGGGGCACCGCGGTCCCCTGGCAGAGCACCCAGAGGTCCCTCTGCAGACCCTGAAGCTTGTCGGGGCAGGGTGGATGTCACGCTGCTGAGGGCCGTGGGCACCCTGGTACCTGCCTACTAATGCCCGGCACAGCCACTGTCCAAGCCCTAACCCAAGCTTCCCAGGGCTCTGTGGGGCCTTTCTGCACCCCAGCCCCTCGGATGCCAGGGACCCTACGGCTTCCCAGGCCAGCAGTATTCCGAACACACGGTATTCCAGCTCAGCTGCATGTCAGGGGAGCTCTGAACAGGGCCTCAGGCACGTCAACCCAGGAGGTATCTTTTCCACTGTTTTTTTGTTTTGTTTTTATGTCCTACTGGGGCTTACGCTCTCCCCACCTCCAGTGGACTGCTATACACTTGAGCCATGCCTCCACTTCAACTTTTTGCTATTTGGAGCTAAGAGCCCCAGCTAGCTCAGAACCATGATCCTCAGCCTCCTGAGTAGCTAGGGTTATATGTGTGAGCCATGGGCACCCAGGGTGTTTTGAATTTTTTTTTTTTTTTGTCGGTTGTGGGGCTTGAACTCTGGGCCTGGGCGCTGTCCCTCAGCTCTTCAGCTCAAGGCAAGCGCTCTACCACTTGAGCTACAGCGCCACTTCGTGTTTTAAATTTTTTAAACCAAGAAAAGACATTTAAATTCACTTTCCCCTCCATGTGCTCGTCCTAGGGCTTGAACTCCAAGCCTGGGCACTGTCCCTAAGCTAGCACTCTAACTCTGAAGCCACAACTCCTCTTCTGGCCTTTTGTCTTTCTTTTTCTCTCCCTCTCTCTCTCCCTCCCCACTCTGTTTTTGGTTGTTAGCTGGATATTGATCTCACAGACTTTCCAGTCTGGGCTGATTTTAAATCGTGATCCTGAGATCTCAGCCTCCTGATTAGCTAAGATTAGAGGTGTGAGCCACTGGCGCCCAGTACATTAAATTCTTACATCTATAGCCAAGCTGGGTAGGCCCATGAGTGCAAAAACTTCTCCAATGAAGTTGCTAGATTACAAAGCATCCAAGACATCCAGCAAAAATGGAGATTCACCTTCACCTATAAGAACTAAACTAAATTCCTAAGAAAGCAGGCTCTGAAGAAGCCCAAAGCCATTGCCAGCCCTGGGTGTACAACGCGCGTGGGCATCTGCGGCAGACGCCAGCCCTGGGTGTACAACACGCGCAGGCATCTGCGGCAGACGCCAGCCCTGGGTGCACAACACGCGCGGGCATCTGCGGCAGACGCCAGCCCTGGGTGTACAACACGCACAGGCATCTGCGGCAGACGCCAGCCCTGGGTGTACAACACGCGCGGGCATCTGCGGCAGACGCCAGCCCTGGGTGTACAACACGGGGATCTGCGGCAGACGCCAGCCCTGGGTGCACAACACGCGTGGGCATCTGCGGCAGACGCCAGCCCTGGGTGTACAACACGCGTGGGCATCTGCGGCAGACGCCAGCCCTGGGTGTACAACATGCACAGGCATCTGCGGCAGACGCCAGCCCTGAGTGTACAACACGCGTGGGCATCTGGGGCAGACGCCAGCCCTGGGTGTACAACACATGCAGGCATCTGCGGCAGACGCCAGCCCTGGGTGCACAACACGCGCAGGGATCTGCGGCAGACGCCAGCCCTGGGTGCACAACACGCGCGGGCATCTGCGGCAGACGCCAGCCCTGGGTGCACAACACGGGGATCTGCGGCAGACGCCAGCCCTGGGTGCACAACACGCGTGGGCATCTGCGGCAGACGCCAGCCCTGGGTGCACAACGCGCGTGGGCATCTGCGGCAGACGCCAGCCCTGGGTGTACAACACGCGCGGGCATCTGCGGCAGACGCCAGCCCTGGGTGTACAACACGCGCAGGCATCTGCGGCAGACGCCAGCCCTGGGTGTACAACACGGGGATCTGCGGCAGACGCCAGCCCTGGGTGTACAACACGCGCAGGCATCTGCGGCAGACGCCAGCCCTGGGTGTACAACACGGGGATCTGCGGCAGACGCCAGCCCTGGGTGCACAACACGCGTGGGCATCTGCAGCAGACGCCAGCCCTGGGTGTACAACACGGGGATCTGCGGCAGACGCCAGCCCTGGGTGCACAACACGCGCAGGGATCTGCGGCAGACACCAGCCCTGGGTGCACAACACGCGCAGGGATCTGCGGCAGACGCCAGCCCTGGGTGTACAACACGCGCGGGCATCTGCGGCAGACGCCAGCCCTGGGTGTACAACGCGCACGGGGATCTGCGGCAGACGCCAGCCCTGGGTGCACAACACGCGCAGGGATCTGCGGCAGACACCAGCCCTGGGTGCACAACACGCGCAGGGATCTGCGGCAGATGCCAGCCCTGGGTGTACAATGCGCACGGGGATCTACGGCAGACACCAGCCCTGGGTGCACAACACGCGCAGGCATCTGCGGCAGACACCAGCCCTGGGTGCACAACACGCGCAGGCATCTGCGGCAGACACCAGCCCTGAGTGTACAACACGCACGGGCATCTGTGGCAGACGCCAGCCCTGGGTGTACAACACGCGTGGGCATCTGGGGCAGACGCCAGCCCTGGGTGTACAACACATGCAGGCATCTGGGGCAGACGCCAGCCCTGGGTGCACAACACATGCAGGGATCTGCGGCAGACGCCAGCCCTGGGTGTACAACACGCGCAGGCATCTGCGGCAGACGCCAGCCCTGGGTGTACAATGCGCACGGGGATCTGGGGCAGAGCAACAGAGGCACCAGTGCCCCCAGGCCTTGAAGGCTCATCTGAGTTCTCATCCGCCTGCAAACACAGGCTCACCACTCCAAGCCAGAGAAAGAGCCACCCAAGAGGTGACAGGCAAACTCTCCACAGCTCCCTAGTGTGGGCAGAAAAATCGGAATGAGATGACTTTGGCAGTGGGAAACCAGCTGCCATGGTGCCACTTGACCATTCAAAAGCAGTCAGAGGGAGGCCTGCTCCCTGGTAAACGGTGTGCCCGTGGGGGCTCGAGAACCTCCACGGAACACAGAAGACCCAGTGTCTGGGGTCGCGAGGAAGCAAGAAACATGCCCCTAAGGAGCACATTTACTGACAAAGCCAGCCCAGCACCCAAGCCGTGTCAGCGCTCCTGGACAGGACATCACACGGTAGTGGTGACCGCCGCATGCATGGCGCAGGCGGCGGGACGCAGCCACCAGAGACCCCGTGGCCCTAGGCCGGGCTTGCCCGCCCCACAGCACAGGGGCTGCACCCAGCCTCCCACCGCCCTGCTCTCGCACCTCCCCTCTGCCACGCAGCCGGGGGCTCTGACGCTTCAGCCTCCAGTGCTCCCAGAGTGGCCCAGATGGAGAGCCTTGGCCAACAGGCCACCTCCCCTGCCCAAGTCTACCTTCCACCTAGACGGCAAGTGCCTGTCTACCTGACAAAACTGACTCCAGAGCCCTTGGGAACTACCTCCCACGTCCGATAGGAGTACTTTGTCTTTAAGATGTGAGCTGGTTGCATCCCAGCTCTTCTGGAGCCTGAGGCGCAGGCTTGTGAATTCAAGGCCAGCCTAGGCAGCACAGCAAGATTCTGTGTCAAAATGTGAACAGCCAGGCTCACACCTGTCATCCTAGCTACTCAGAAGGCCGAGATCTGAGGATCATGTTTTGAAACCAGCCTGGGCAGGAAAGTCCATGAGACTCTGATCTCTAATTAACCACTAGAAATCCAGAAGTGGTGCACTGACTCAAGTGGTACAGCACTAGCCTTCAGCAAAAGAGCTCAGGAACAGAGCCCAGGCCCCGAGTTCAAGCCCCAAAACTAACAGAACACACAAACAAATATGAGTAAGACTAAAACATGGGTGACATGGGCGTTACCAACCAGCAAGCCCTGAAGAGATCTTACTTTTCCTCAGTGGTGAAAATGTCAAAGCACCCATTGGCCAGCATTTGGTCCAACATCTTCAGTAGTGATACAGATACCCTGAGGGGAGAATACAGCAAGCATGGTAAGGCCCCCGGGGCAGACGGAGGCCCCAGGGCTTCCGGACACACTTCACGCGTAGCTTCCTGGTGAGGGCTACCACCAGTTCCTGTACATACTACCAATGCTGAGGTCAAAAGTGCTGCTTCTCAGAGACCTGCTCCACCTTGAGGCTGCCAACGTGGCGCCTGGAGCCGTCCTTCCCCCACACAGAAACATCCATTTTCTACCAAAAGAGCCAGTGGGAAGAGGGCCCAGCGAGCCTCCTGCAGCCGTGCCCTGGGCCTCTGGAGACAGGCGCCACCTACCGGTCATTCAGGAGGTTGTCCTCAAAGACGCGCAGGATGCTCTCAGCAAAGGCCCCCAGGGCTTGTGGGTCTCTCTGAATCCCCTTCATGTACTCAAAGAGGCTCTGAGTGGAATGCCTGACCTGTAACACCAAGAAGCTACAGGTAAAGACAAAGCTGACTGGCTAGTGACTGATGGTTACATGACTGCCACCAAGCTGAAATGACCCTGGTCTACAAAGACGAGCATCCTGCAGGTGCTCAGTGGCCAGAGGCCCACATTGGGTCAGAACCTAGACAGTACAGCCAGAGCCCAGCTCTGCCCCGCCCCCCCCCACCACCACCTTCACAAGGAGGAGGAAGAGGCAGGCAGACATGCAGAGGAGGAGGAGGAGAGCAGGCAGACATGCAGAGGAGGAGGAGAGCAGGCAGACAGGCAGAGGAGGAGGAGGAGGAGGAGGAGAGCCGACAGAGGAGGAGGAGGAGAGCAGACAGACAGAGGAGGAGGAGGAGAGCAGACAGACAGAGGAGGAGGAGAGCAGACAGACAGAGGAGGAAGAGGAGAGCAGACAGACAGAGGAGGAGGAGGAGAGCAGACAGACAGGCAGAGGAGGAGGAGGAGGAGGAGAGCAGACAGACAGGCAGAGGAGGAGGAGGAGGAGGAGAGCAGACAGAGGAGGAGGAGGAGAGCAGACAGACAGGCAGAGGAGGAGGAGGAGAGCAGACAGACAGAGGAGGAGGAGGGGGAGAGCAGACAGACAGGCAGAGGAGGAGGAGAGCAGACAGACAGGCAGAGGAGGAGGAGGAGAGCAGACAGACAGGCAGAGGAGGAGGAGGAGAGCTGGCAGACAGGCAGAGGAGGAGGAGGAGAGCAGACAGACAGGCAGAGGAGGAGGAGGAGAGCAGACAGACAGGCAGAGGAGGAGGAGGAGGAGGAGAGCAGACAGACAGGCAGAGGAGGAGGAGGAGGAGGAGAGCAGACAGACAGAGGAGGAGGAGGAGAGCAGACAGACAGGAGGAGGAGGAGAGCAGACAGGCAAAGGAGGAGGAGGAGAGCAGACAGACAGGCAGAGGAGGAGGAGGAGGAGGAGAGCAGACAGGCAGAGGAGGAGGAGGAGAGCAGACAGACAGAGGAGGAGGAGGAGGAGAGCAGACAGACAGGCAGAGGAGGAGGAGGAGAGCAGACAGACAGGCAGAGGAGGAGGAGGAGAGCAGACAGACAGGCAGAGGAGGAGGAGGAGAGCTGGCAGACAGGCAGAGGAGGAGGAGGAGAGCAGACAGACAGGCAGAGGAGGAGGAGGAGGAGGAGAGCAGACAGGCAGAGGAGGAGGAGGAGAGCAGACAGACAGAGGAGGAGGAGGAGGAGAGCAGACAGACAGAGGAGGAGGAGGAGAGCAGACAGACAGGAGGAGGAGGAGAGCAGACAGACAGAGGAGGAGGAGGAGAGCAAACAGGCAGAGGAGGAGGAGGAGAGCAGACAGACAGGAGGAGGAGGAGAGCAGACAGACAGGAGGAGGAGGAGGAGAGCAGACAGACAGAGGAGGAGGAGGAGAGCAGACAGACAGAGGAGGAGGAGGAGAGCAGACAGACAGAGGAGGAGGAGGAGAGCAAACAGGCAGAGGAGGAGGAGGAGAGCAGACAGACAGAGGAGGAGGAGGAGGAGAGCAAACAGGCAGAGGAGGAGGAGGAGGAGAGCAGACAGACAGAGGAGGAGGAGGAGAGCAGACAGACAGAGGAGGAGGAGGAGGAGAGCAGACAGGCAGAGGAGGAGGAGGAGGAGAGCAGACAGACGAGGAGGAGGAGAGCAGACAGACAGAGGAGGAGGAGGAGGAGAGCAGACAGACAGAGGAGGAGGAGGAGGAGAGCAGACAGGCGGAGGAGGAGGAGAGCAGACAGACAGAGGAGGAGGAGGAGGAGAGCAGACAGACAGAGGAGGAGGAGGAGGAGAGCAGACAGACAGAGGAGGAGGAGGAGGAGAGCAGACAGGCAGAGGAGGAGGAGGAGGAGAGCAGACAGACAGAGGAGGAGGAGGAGAGCAGACAGACAGACAGAGGAGGAGGAGGAGGAGAGCAGACAGGCAGAGGAGGAGGAGGAGGAGAGCAGACAGGCAGAGGAGGAGGAGGAGGAGGAGAGCAGACAGACAGAGGAGGAGGAGGAGGAGAGCAAACAGGCAGAGGAGGAGGAGGAGGAGAGCAGACAGGCAGAGGAGGAGGAGGAGGAGAGCAGACAGGCAGAGGAGGAGGAGGAGGAGAGCAGACAGACAGGAGGAGGAGGAGAGCAGACAGACAGACAGAGGAGGAGGAGGAGGAGAGCAAACAGACAGACAGAGGAGGAGGAGGAGGAGAGCAGACAGACAGAGGAGGAGGAGGAGAGCAGACAGACAGACAGAGGAGGAGGAGGAGGAGAGCAGACAGACAGAGGAGGAGGAGGAGAGCAAACAGGCAGAGGAGGAGGAGGAGGAGAGCAGACAGGCAGAGGAGGAGGAGGAGAGCAGGCAGACAGACAGAGGAGGAGGAGGAGGAGAGCAGACAGGCAGAGGAGGAGGAGGAGGAGAGCAGACAGACAGAGGAGGAGGAGGAGGAGAGCAGACAGGCAGAGGAGGAGGAGGAGGAGAGCAGACAGACAGAGGAGGAGGAGGAGAGCAGACAGACAGACAGAGGAGGAGGAGGAGGAGAGCAGACAGGCAGAGGAGGAGGAGGAGGAGAGCAGACAGGCAGAGGAGGAGGAGGAGGAGGAGAGCAGACAGACAGAGGAGGAGGAGGAGGAGAGCAAACAGGCAGAGGAGGAGGAGGAGGAGAGCAGACAGGCAGAGGAGGAGGAGGAGAGCAGGCAGACAGACAGAGGAGGAGGAGGAGGAGAGCAGACAGGCAGAGGAGGAGGAGGAGAGCAGGCAGACAGACAGAGGAGGAGGAGAGCAGGCAGACAGACAGAGGAGGAGGAGAGCAGGCAGACATGAGCGGAGGACGGAGCTCTGGAATGGGTGTAAAAGCTCCTCCTCCTGAGAGCACCAGTGTGCTCGTGCTCAGGGTGTGTGGCAGAGGCGGATCAGACAGGTGGAAGCCAGCAGCTAGTGGATGGCAGCGGGCCTACCCTTCTCTGCAAGCTTATTTCAAATTTCCGTAAGAAAAACAATTGCTCTTCATAGACTTGGAATCGTCGGCTACAAAGTACTCATTTACAATGACACCAAAATTTCAGCATCTTGGAGAAACAGGTCCCTAACTAGTCCTGTGTCCTGCCTTTCAAGCACCATGTCCGCCAGCATCGAGGCCACCAGAGGCCGAAAGCATGGATGCCACTCTACCTACATAGATAACCCATGGTGGGTCCAGGGCTGTGGCCCCAGAATACAACCATCTTTACTGAAAATGCAGGCTCTGCCTTTCCCAGGCTCAGCCACACAAGAGCTGGTTTCCAGAGCCCCTCAGGACACGGGCAGAAGCCGGACTCCTGACCACAGCCAAATGACAGGGGGGTGCAGAAAGGCAGGGGCCAACCCCCCGGGAGACAGACGCTGGCCCAGCGGCCATGCAGCCTGCCTGCTGGGAGCACACGCACGCACTGCCCGAGGCGGGGGCCAAGCTCCCACCCGCCACACCCGTCCCCCTCACCGTCGATTCCGTCAAGCCGCCCACAGACACTGCCAGCCCCAGCAGCACGTGGTGGCGGTAGGTGGGCAGCCCCAGGAGCTGGGTGATGAGAGGGAATGCCTGCGAAGGGGCGTTCCAGTTCACAGAGGCCATGGCGGATCTGAAAGAAGTGGCGATCCTCAGGGTGCTGCAAGGACCCTGGGTGAGGGGTGGTAGGGCGCCCAGCAGTCCTACCTGGGAAACAGCGCCTCCAGCTCCCCGCGGTGGGGCACGTGGGGGATGGGGGGGCTGTCAAAATGCAGGAGCGTCACAAACACACGGGCAGCATGAGCACGAACCCGGTCAATCTTCTCGCTGGCCTGCCGGGCGAGTGAGCACAGAAAGCTCTCACACCTAAGGGCGAACAGCGGGAGCCCATCAGCACGCCAGGCCTGCCGCCGCATCCCGGAGCCACGGCACAGAAGGCTGCTGAGGCCTTGGGAAGGAAGAAGTCAGAGCTAAAAGACGGATGGGCCTGCAGCTGGAGGGGAGCAGGAAGGGATGGAAAGTCAGGCTAAGAAGAGGGCACAGGACAAAATGAAGTACAGGAAAGACAGAGGAGAAGAGGAGGGGTCCAGAGCGGTCAGGAACTGAAGACCAGACACTGACAGGCAGAACCCAAGGCCTTGGGGAAAAGCCCCCGCTGTAAGGACAGCTGGGGTAATGGCAGCCCGTCCTCGAAGGAGCCCGGCGGCGGTCCCGGCCTCGCCCGCCAGCGCTGTGCGAGGCCATCCCCACAGGCAGGGCAGGCCCACAGGCTGTGGGGGTCAGGAAAACGGACTGAGAGGCCCATCCCAGAAGATGCACAGGTGCCCACGGGGCGCTGTCCAGGCTGGCCTGGCCCGTACTCACACAGGGGCCTCAAGCAGGGAGGGCTGCACCTGCACCAACAGGAGCACCAGGTCCAATATGCCGGTCATGGCCGCCTCACGGACACTGCAGGACAAGGACACATGGTGAGGGTCAGCGTAGGACTGGGGCTCCACTGTGCCCACCCAGCCACCACACGGGCTGACAGCAGGCAGAACAGGCCCCCTGTGGGAGGAAGTTCCCAAGAACCGCCCAGGTTCCCCACGCTCTGTGGCAATGGCCGGGGAGACCTGCCGGCCACACACAGGCTCCGTCCCAGGGTGAGTTTCGGAGATTACAGAAATCCCACTTCAGTAAAAAGTGTCAGCAAAACCCAGGGCCAGCCGCTGGCAGGCTTCATGTTCTGTCTCATGCACTGCAGCAAGCAAGAGGCTTCATGCTTCATGCCTGCAGAGCCTGGACGAGTCCCAACAGAGCTGTGAGTGCACACACAGGCAAAACACCACTTCCCACGCTGTACGAGCTAAGGCCAGCCCCACAGGGTCTCCCCACAAAGGCTGGGCCCCTGACAGCCACTATGGAATGGGCATGGCTGGCCTGCCAGATGCTAACGGGAAGGCGGGAGAGCAGCCCGGTGGGACGCTGCGGCCATGCTGTAGCTAGGACGCGCGGGCGGGGCAGAAAACAGCCACAGGACCCTACTAATCCCCCCCATGTCTGAGAGGACTCCAGGGTTGGTGAGGCCAGCAGAGCTCACTTCTAATTTGACTGTAAAGGTGGCGTACAGAGGTTCCAGGTGAAAGGGACAGGGGTACATTTCCTTGTCAGCAGTGCCCCCCCGCCCCCCGCTCAGGTTTTCTCTTGACTTGCCACCCCTGAAGTTACATCGATCACTTCTAACAGTGTCAGTGGGTTTCGCCGCTGAATTCATTCACCCTTTGTCCCCTGTCTGTGCTTTCCCTTCCACTCTCCAGATAAACTCATGTACAAGACAAAGGGCACAGAAATTTAAAAAACAGCCACAGAAGAGAATAAACCAAAGGGAAAAGGGGAGGAGGAGGAGGGGGGAGGGGGAGGAGGAGGGAAGGGAGGTGGGAAGGGAGGAGGAGGAGGAGGGGGAGGAGGGGGAGGGGGAGGGGGAGGAAGGGGAAGGGAGGAGGAGGGAAGGGAGGAGGAGGGGGAGGAGGAGGGGGAGGAGGAGGGAAGGAGGGGGGAGGGGAAGGCAGAGGACGGGGAGGAAGGGGAGAGGAGGGGGAGGGAGAGGGAGAGGAGGGGGAGGGGGGGGAGGAGGAACCCCATGTCTTGGGGTTCATTTTGATAAGTATTATTTTATTTGACCTTATGCACATAGCTATTGAGCCTTATAATCCTCTCCTAAGAATACCCTTCTTTGTTCTCACTGTGTGAGAACAAGTCTTTAGATTGCTGGTTAATCATATCCAGGTGTAATTATTTGTCTTTTACTATCATTGGGTTTACTTGTATATTTATAGGCACATTCTAGTTATTACAAATGAGGGAAACCATACATCCTGTTTCTTTGGGTCTGATTTACTTCGCTTAGTATAATGTTTTCCAAATCTTCCCATTTCCTTACAAATGGGGCAATATCATTCTTTCTGATGGACACATAGAATCCCACTATGTATACATATCACAAATTCCTGATCCGTTCATCCACTAAAGGGTTCTTGGCTTGGTAAACAATACTGCAATGAACACGGTTGTGCTGGTAGCTTTAGTGTTGGTGGTCAATTGGACAGATGCCTAGAAATGAGATTGCTGGGTCATAGGGAAATTCTATGTTTAGTCTTTTTTTTTGGTCTGGTTGTGGGGCCTGAACTCTGGGCCTGGGCGCTGTCCCTCAGCTCTTCAGCTCAAGGCTAATGCTCTGCCACTTGAGCCACAGTGCCACTTCCGGCTTTTTTTTCTTTTTGCTTATGTGGTGCTGAGGAATCGAACCCAGGGCCTCATGCATGCAAGGCACGCACTCTACCACTGAGCTACTTTCCCAGCCCCTATGTTTAGTCTTTTGAGGAACCTCCAGACTGCTTTCCAGAGCGGTTCAACAAGCTGACATTCCCGCCAACAGTATAGTAGCATTCCCTTTTGGCCACATCCCAGAGAGCAACTGTTATTAGTTTTCTTGATAATGGCCATTCTAACTGGGGTGAGGTAGAATCTCAATATTGATTTGCATTTCTTATATGGCCAGATGATGACAAACATCCTTTCACGTGTAAAACGGCTATTCTTATTTCTTCTTCGGAGAAGTCTCTCTTTAAGTCTTTAGCCCATTTACTAATTGGGTTGTCGCTTTGGGGAGGTTCAATTTTTTGAGCTCTGAGTATATTTTAGATATGAGGCCCTTGTCTGATGCATAGCTAATAAAGATCTTCTCCCATTCTATGGGCTTTTTATTTATCTTGCTAGCTAATGTCCTTTGCCATGCAGAAACTGTTCATTTTGATGTGATTTCGTTTATTCAGTATTTCTGATTTGTTGTGATTCTGGATCTTTTTTTTGGGGGGGGGGGGGTCACGGGGCTTGAACTCTGGGCCTGGGTGCTGTCCCTCAGCTCTTCAGCTCAAGGCTAGCACTCTACCACTTGACCCACAGCGCCACTTCTGGTGTTCTGGTGGTTAATTGGAAATAAGAGTCTCACAAACTTTCCTGCCAAGGCTGATCCTCAGATCTCAGCCTCATGAGTAGCTAGAATTACAGGCTTGAGCTACCGGCACCCAGCTGATTCAGGATTAGTTAACAAGTTTCAAACTGTGACTAGGAGCCTTAGTATTTCCCCTATCCCTTCCTGTAATATTTTCAGGGTACCTGTTCTTACATTGAGGACTCTGATCTTTTTGGAGTTGATTCTGGTGCAGGGAGATACATTAGTATCTAATTTCAGTTTTCTTCATCTGTCTAGCCAATTCTTCCAGCACCATTTGTTGAAGAGTTTTCTTTCTGTTTTCTGCCCCCTGATCAAATATTAGGTCCAGTAGGTATGAGGGCTCGTTTCTGGGTCTTCTATTCCATTAGTTCTCAAGTCGATGCTTGTGCCAGCACCAAGCTGGTTTTATAACTACATCATTATAATAAGAGTTACACTGTCCTGCTAAGGACTGTTTTTGCAATTTGGGTGTTCTATTATTCCATATGAATTTTTGGATTGCTTCTTCTATATCACTGGAAAATGTTGTTGGGATTTTGATGGATACTGCATTTGAATTGAATTTGGGTATTGAATTTATAGATAGCTTTGGTCAGTACTGCCATTTTCATTTGAACAAAACAAACAGAGCTTTAGGACCTCTCTAGTGTATGCTGAGTGTCTAGAGCGTTAGGACCTCTCTAGTGTGTGCTGAGTGTCTAGAGCGTTAGGACCTCTCTCTCTAGTGTGTGCTGAGTGTCTAGAGTGTTAGGACCTCTCTAGTGTGTGCTGAGTGTCTAGAGTGTTAGGACCTCTCTAGTGTGTGCTGAGTGTCTAGAGCGTTAGGACCTCTCTCTCTAGTGTGTGCTGAGTGTCTAGAGCGTTAGGACCTCTCTAGTGTGTGCTGAGTGTCTAGAGTGTTAGGACCTCTCTAGTGTGTGCTGAGTGTCTAGAGCGTTAGGACCTCTCTGTCTAGTGTGTGCTGAGTGTCTAGAGCGTTAGGACCTCTCTCTCTCGTGTGTGCTGAGTGTCTAGAGCGTTAGGACCTCTCTCTCTCGTGTGTGCTGAGTGTCTAGAGCGTTAGGACCTCTCTCTCTAGTGTGTGCTGAGTGTCTAGAGTGTTAGGACCTCTCTCTCTAGTGTGTGCTGAGTGTCTAGAGCGTTAGGACCTCTCTCTCTCGTGTGTGCTGAGTGTCTAGAGTGTTAGGACCTCTCTCTCTCTAGTGTGTGCTGAGTGTCTAGAGCGTTAGGACCTCTCTGTCTAGTGTGTGCTGAGTGTCTAGAGCGTTAGGACCTCTCTCTCTCGTGTGTGCTGAGTGTCTAGAGCGTTAGGACCTCTCTCTCTAGTGTGTGCTGAGTGTCTAGAGTGTTAGGACCTCTCTCTCTCGTGTGTGCTGAGTGTCTAGAGCGTTAGGACCTCTCTCTCTCGTGTGTGCTGAGTGTCTAGAGCGTTAGGACCTCTCTCTCTCGTGTGTGCTGAGTGTCTAGAGCGTTAGGACCTCTAACTCTAGTGTGTGCTGAGTGTCTAGAGTGTTAGGACCTCTCTGTCTAGTGTGTGCTGAGTGTCTAGAGCGTTAGGACCTCTCTGTCTAGTGTGTGCTGAGTGTCTAGAGCGTTAGGACCTCTCTAGTGTGTGCTGAGTGTCTAGAGCGTTAGGACCTCTCTCTCTCGTGTGTGCTGAGTGTCTAGAGCATTAGGACCTCTCTCTCTCGTGTGTGCTGAGTGTCTAGAGCGTTAGGACCTCTCTCTCTAGTGTGTGCTGAGTGTCTAGAGTGTTAGGACCTCTCTCTCTAGTGTGTGCTGAGTGTCTAGAGTGTTAGGACCTCTCTAGTGTGTGCTGAGTGTCTAGAGCGTTAGGACCTCTCTCTCTCGTGTGTGCTGAGTGTCTAGAGTGTTAGGACCTCTCTCTCTCGTGTGTGCTGAGTGTCTAGAGCGTTAGGACCTCTCTCTCTCGTGTGTGCTGAGTGTCTAGAGCGTTAGGACCTCTCTCTCTCGTGTGTGCTGAGTGTCTAGAGCGTTAGGACCTCTCTCTCTCGTGTGTGCTGAGTGTCTAGAGCGTTAGGACCTCTCTCTCTCGTGTGTGCTGAGTGTCTAGAGCGTTAGGACCTCTCTCTCTAGTGTGTGCTGAGTGTCTAGAGTGTTAGGACCTCTCTCTCTCGTGTGTGCTGAGTGTCTAGAGCGTTAGGACCTCTCTGTCTAGTGTGTGCTGAGTGTCTAGAGCGTTAGGACCTCTCTCTCTAGTGTGTGCTGAGTGTCTAGAGTGTTAGGACCTCTCTCTCTAGTGTGTGCTGAGTGTCTAGAGTGTTAGGACCTCTCTAGTGTGTGCTGAGTGTCTAGAGTGTTAGGACCTCTCTCTCTCGTGTGTGCTGAGTGTCTAGCGCGTTAGGACCTCTCTGTCTAGTGTGTGCTGAGTGTCTAGAGCGTTAGGACCTCTCTCTCTCGTGTGTGCTGAGTGTCTAGAGCGTTAGGACCTCTCTGTCTAGTGTGTGCTGAGTGTCTAGAGCGTTAGGACCTCTCTCTCTCGTGTGTGCTGAGTGTCTAGAGCGTTAGGACCTCTCTCTCTCGTGTGTGCTGAGTGTCTAGAGTGTTAGGACCTCTCTCTCTCGTGTGTGCTGAGTGTCTAGAGCGTTAGGACCTCTCTGTCTAGTGTGTGCTGAGTGTCTAGAGCGTTAGGACCTCTCTCTCTAGTGTGTGCTGAGTGTCTAGAGCGTTAGGACCTCTCTCTCTACTGTGTGCTGAGTGTCTAGAGCGTTAGGACCTCTCTCTCTAGTGTGTGCTGAGTGTCTAGAGTGTTAGGACCTCTCTAGTGTGTGCTGAGTGTCTAGAGTGTTAGGACCTCTCTCTCTCGTGTGTGCTGAGTGTCTAGAGTGTTAGGACCTCTCTCTCTAGTGTGTGCTGAGTGTCTAGAGCGTTAGGACCTCTCTAGTGTGTGCTGAGTGTCTAGAGTGTTAGGACCTCTCTAGTGTGTGCTGAGTGTCTAGAGTGTTAGGACCTCTCTGTCTAGTGTGTGCTGAGTGTCTAGAGTGTTAGGACCTCTCTCTCTCTCGTGTGTGCTGAGTGTCTAGAGTGTTAGGACCTCTCTCTCTAGTGTGTGCTGAGTGTCTAGAGCATTAGGACCTCTCTCTCTCGTGTGTGCTGAGTGTCTAGAGCGTTAGGACCTCTCTGTCTAGTGTGTGCTGAGTGTCTAGAGCATTAGGACCTCTCTCTCTAGTGTGTGCTGAATGTCTAGGTTGCCAAGGCTTCCACAATGAAAGCAAGGTGAGAGGATAAGGAAGAACAATCAAGTACAGAAACAAGGCCCAGGATGGCTGCAATGGCTCAGGCCTAGGCTCCTCACTACTTAGGAGATGGAGAATGGCAAGATCTCGGTTCAAGGCCAGCTCAGGCCAAAAGACCCTACCTAAACAAAAATGCTGGCCACGGTGGCATACTTGCCATCCCAGTTATGCGGGGAGTGAGGGGTTATAGTTTAGGCCAGCCAGACAAAAAAAATTAAGGTAACTACAATCTAAATAACTAAATCCAAAAGGTCTGCACACAGCCCTGAGTTTAAATCCTAGGACTGAAAAACAAACAAACAACAGCAGCAACCACAAAAATAAGGCCCAAACAGCCCATACATAGAGTGGCACGCCCTTCTTTCTTTTCTATTAACTTTCAATCACCAGAAAGCCAGCTTCCTTCCTATTGTCCTGTAAAAACACTGCTCAGTCTCCAAGAAAGCACAAGTAAGAGATGCACAGTGGTGGCGCACGCACACACACACACACACACATGCACAGAGACACACAGAGACAGACACACACACACATGCACACGCACACAGAGACAGACACACACACACACATGCACACGCACACAGACACACAGAGACAGACACACACACATGCACACACACACAGAGACACACAGAGACAGACAGACACACACATGCACACGCACACAGAGACACACAGACAGACACACACACACATGCACACGCACAGAGACAGAGACACACACACACACACACACAGAGACAGAGACACACACACACATGCACACGCACACAGAGACACACAGAGACAGAGACAGACACACACACATGCACACGCACACAGAGACACACAGACACACACACATGCACACGCACACAGAGACACACAGAGACAGAGACACACACATGCACACGCACACAGAGACAGAGACACACACACACATGCACACGCACACAGACACACAGAGACAGACACACACACATGCACACGCACACAGACACACAGACAGACAGACACACATGCACACGCACACAGAGACACAGAGACAGACAGACACACACACATGCACACGCACACAGAGACACACAGACACACACATGCACACGCACAGAGACAGAGACACACACACACACATGCACACGCACACAGAGACACACAGAGACAGACAGACACACACATGCACACGCACACAGAGACACACAGAGACAGAGACAGACACACACACATGCACACGCACACAGAGACACACAGACAGACACACACACATGCACACGCACACAGAGACACACAGAGACAGACAGACACACACATGCACACGCACACAGAGACACACAGAGACAGACACACACACACATGCACACGCACACAGAGACACAGACAGACACACACACACATGCACACGCACAGAGACACACAGAGACAGAGACACACACACACACACATGCACACGCACACAGAGACAGACACACACACACACACATGCACACGCACACAGAGACACACAGAGACAGACAGACACACACATGCACACGCACACAGAGACACACAGAGACAGACAGACACACACACATGCACACGCACACAGAGACAGACACACACACACACATGCACACGCACACAGAGACACACAGAGACACACACACACACACACATGCACACGCACACAGAGACACACAGAGACAGACACACACACACATGCACACGCACACAGAGACACACAGACAGACACACACACATGCACACGCACACAGAGACACACAGAGACAGACACACACACATGCACACGCACACAGAGACACACAGAGACAGACAGACACACGCATGCACACGCACACAGAGACACACAGAGACAGACACACACACATGCACACGCACACAGAGACACACAGAGACAGACAGACACACACATGCACAAGCACAGAGACACACAGAGACAGACACACACACATGCACACGCACACAGAGACACACAGAGACAGACACACACATGCACACCCACACAGAGACACACAGAGACAGAGACACACACACATGCACACGCACACAGAGACACACAGAGACAGACACACACACATGCACACGCAGACACACAGAGACAGACACATACACATGCACACGCACACAGAGACACACAGAGACAGACAGACACACACATGCACACGCACACAGAGACACACAGAGACAGACACACACACACATGCACACGCACACAGAGACACAGAGACAGACAGACACACACATGCACAAGCACACAGAGACACACAGAGAGACACACACACATGCACACGCACACAGAGACAGAGACACACACACATGCACACGCAGACACACAGAGACAGACAGACACACACATGCACACGCACACAGAGACACACAGAGACAGACACACACACACATGCACACGCACACAGAGACAGAGACAGACACACACACATGCACACGCACACAGAGACACACAGAGACAGAGACACACACACACATGCACACGCACACAGAGACACAGAGACAGAGACACACACACACAGATACACACACAGATACACAGATACACACAGAGACAGATACACACATGCACACGCACACAGAGACACAGAGACAGACACACACACACAGAGACACAGAGACACACAGATACAGATACACACACACACATGCACACGCACACAGAGACACAAAGACAGAGACACATGCACACGCACACAGAGACACACAGAGACAGAGACAGACACACACACATGCACACGCACACAGACACACAGAGACAGACACACACACATGCACACGCACACAGAGACACACAGAGACAGACAGACACACACACATGCACACGCACAGAGACACAGAGACAGACACACACACACATGCACACGCAGACACACAGAGACAGACACACACATGCACACGCACACAGAGACACACAGAGACAGACACACACACATGCACACGCACACAGAGACACACAGATACACACACACACATGCACACGCACACAGAGACACAGAGACAGACAGACACACACAGAGACACACAGAGACACACACAGAGACACACAGATACACACACACGCATGCACACGCACAGAGACACAGAGACAGAGACACACACACACAGAGACACACAGAGACACACAGATACACACACATGCACACGCACACAGATACACACAGAGACACACACAGACAGATACACACACACACATGCACACGCAGAGACACACAGAGACAGATACACACACACATGCACACACACAGAGACACACAGAGACAGATACACACACATGCACATGTAGAGACACACAGAGACAGAGACAGACACACACACAGAGACACACAGATACACACACAGATACACACACACATGCACACGCACACAGACACACAGAGAGAGACACACACACACAGAGACAGACAGACACACACACACACACGCAGACAGAACAATCTGGAATCAAGGCAACTTGCAGCCGCATCTCTGGAAACCCTCAGCTCAGAGCAGAGTCTCCACAGCCCCAATTTCTTCCTGAGTCCTGAATCCCAGCAGTCCCCACAGTGAGCGGGCGCCTCCAGGCTCTCACCAGGAGTCTTGTTAGGAATGAACTTAGCATCAGCAGTTGAGCCCCCAGCTAGAGCTGCAACACAACTCAACAGAACACTGCATTTCCTCAAGCCAACGTCAGAAAAGAGAAAATGAGGAAAGAAAGTAGAAGCAGGAAAGCCATCCCATAGGATGCTTTGCCTCACTGAGCACCAGAGGAAGCAGGCGGAGCGGCTGCGGGGAGGACCATGGTCAGGATAGGTTCCAGTCATCTGGGACCTGGGAATAAGCGGCCCAAAGCCCCATCCCTCAGGGCTGCTCGTAGGACTGCAGGGACATAGATGCTAGCCTTACCGGGACCCCACGTCTCCTCTGTTGTCTGTGGTATAGTCACGCATGCAGTCCAGTAGTGCAGTGTAAATCTCAGAAACATTCTCTCTGCACACAACTTCATCTGCAGGCCCCTCTGCTTTTACACCAACCGTCTGGCAAATGCTGAAATTACAATGTGCAAAACCTCATGTCAGTGTCCTGATAAGCCTTCCTACGACGAGCAGTCAACACAACAGTCAGCACAACAGCCCTGGCAAACCAAGACCCGCAGGGTGCCTTTGCACGCAGGTGGGATGTCTGTGGGGTCACACTCTACAGCCCCCGGGGCCTGTAAGGTGCTGAGCCTCCTCCTTCCCATCCCAACAGAAGGGGTTGGTGCTGCTGTAGGAGGCGGGAAAGAGGCAGACACAGCAGCCCTGAGCACGGACTCCAGAAGTGGAGGTGGCTCCAACACAGTGTCACATTTCCTGGGCCTGGGATGGAACTCAGGGCCTGATGAATACACAGGCTCTCTACAGCTGAGCTCTACCAGCCCTGTGATGCTTTGATTTGTGTGCTGATTCAAGTCTCACCGGGCTGTTCCCCGGTTCTTTTTCTGTGTGTGTGCTGGAACTCAGGACTTGAGCTCTTGCTAGACGTTTTCATTCATGGCAGGCCCCCTCCCACTCAAGCCATACCTCCAGTCCAAATTTCTGACTGGTGAACTGGAGAGAAGAATCTTTCTCCTGGAACCATTAACCTCAGATCTCAGCCTGTTTAGCAGCTGAGATCACAGGCATGAGCCACGGTACCAGCTTGTTCCTAGTTGTAGTTATACAACAGGTTGAATATTTGTTTTCACTAACAACATATAACTGTCACTAGGCCTTCCAAGACTGGAGAAGCTACCTGACACCAAAGGAAAGGAAAAAGAGGGAAAGGGAGAAAAAGGAGGGGAAACGGGAGGGGAAAGAAGGGGAAGAAAGGGAGAGGAGGGACTAGAAAACCAAAGGCAACAAAGCACCTCTAGTTGTGCTTTGCCAGGTGCCGCCGTCCACGGCAGAGCCCACCAGCCACTCACCTCAAGATGGCCCTCAGGCCGTCCCTCCTGGCCTCGGCAAAGCTCACGTCCTGGGGCGAAATGCAGGTGACGGCTCTCAAGCCAGCAAGCACCTGAGGGCAGCAGAACCCCCAAAACAGGTGTCAGCTACAAAGCGACTGTGTGTGTGTGCGTGCATGTGCACGTGTGTGTGTGCGCATGTGTGTGTGCACATGTGTGCGTGCGCGCATGTGTGCGCGCGCACGCGTGTGTGCTTGTGCGTGCGCGTGTGTGGGCGTGTGCGCGTGCATGTGTCCGTGTATGCGTGCGTGCATGTGTGTGCACGCGTGTGCACGCGTGTGCATGTGTGCATGCGTGTGCGTGTGTGCATGCGTGTGCGTGCGTGCGTGCGTGCATGTGTGTGCATGCGTGGGGGGGGCGTGTGTGCATGTGCGTGCGTGTGGGCGTGTGCACGCGCGTGCATGTGTGCGTGTGCGCATGTGTGTGCGTGTGGGCGTGTGTGCGCGCATGTGTGTGAGTGCATGTGTGGGTGTGTGGCGTGTGTGCATGTGTGTGGGCACATGTGTGTGTGGGCGCTTGTGTGTGTGCGTGTGTGCGGGTGTGTGGGCATGTGTGTGCGCGTGTGTGTGGGCACATGTATGTGCATGTGTGCGTGTGTGTGCATGTGTGTGCGTGTGTGCGTGTGTGCATGTGTGTGTGCGCACATGTGCGTATGTGCGTGTATATGTGCATGTATGCGGGTGTGTGGCGTGTGTGCATGTGTGTGCACGCATGTGTGTGGGCACATGTGTGTGTGGGCTCATGTGTGTGGGCGCTTGTGTGTGTGCATGTGTGCGGGTGTGCGGGTGTGTGTGCGTGTGTGCGCATGTGTGTGCGCGTGTGCGTGTATGTGTGTGCGTGTGTGGGCGCTTGTGTGTGGGCGTGTGCGCGCGCGTGTGTGCGTGCGCGTGTGTGCGTGTATGTGTGGGTGCATGTGGGTGTGTGCGCGCGCACGTACGTGCGTGTGGTTTTATTCTGTCTGAGACAGACTGCGGTCGGGAGGGACAGACTCCAGGGACAGACCGGATGCGTGCCAGTCACTCAGACCTTGTTGGGAAGCACAGGATGAAATCAGGATAAGGAGGTGAGGGGTACTCCTGAGAAAAGCGAGGGACGGACGATCCCCAGACTCTGAGAAGGGGTGACCAGCAGTCTGGGGCAGAAGGAGAACTAGCTGGTACGGCATATCCAGCAGACAGGGCGGCGTGAGACAGCGAGACTCATGAGCAGAGGGCCGCAGGCCTCCTAGGCGAAGGCCTGGCAGGGGCCCAGCCTGGGCCTCTCAATGTGCAGCTCCTCGCAACGGACCACGCGAAGGAAGCGCCTTGGCAGGGCTGGACAGAGCAACAGCAAAGCCCAAGCGCATGCAAGGCCCCCAGCACACTGCGGGACAGCCAGACCCCCTCGCTCACGCTCCACGCTACGGGCTGCAAGGACCCCCCAAGCACACCAAGGGACAGCCAGACCCCCCCTCGCTCACACTCCACGCTGCAAGGCCCCCAGCACACCGAGGGACAGCCAGACCCCCCTCGCTCACGCTCCACGCTGCAAGGCCCCCAGCACACCGCGGGACAGCCAGACCCCCCTTGCTCACGCTCCACGCTCCACGCTGCAAGGCCCCCAGCACACCGAGGGACAGCCAGACCCCCCTCGCTCACACTCCACGCTGCAAGGCCCCCAGCACACCGAGGGACAGCCAGACCCCCCTCGCTCACACTCCACGCTGCAAGGCCCCCAGCACACCGCGGGACAGCCAGACCCCCCTCGCTCACGCTCCACGCTGCAAGGCCCCCAGCACACCGCGGGACAGCCAGACCCCCCTCGCTCACGCTCCACGCTGCAAGGCCCCCAGCACACCGCGGGACAGCCAGACCCCCTCGCTCACGCTCCACGCTCCACGCTGCAAGGCCCCCAGCACACCGCGGGACAGCCAGACCCCCCTCGCTCACGCTCCACGCTACAGGGAGTGTGTGTGTGCTCCCAAGGAAGAGACACAGGCCTTCTGAGCCCAGCGGAGCCCAGCCTGCCTCCACTGCCAGGCTGCAGCAGGAGAAGCAAGTTCTCAGCCTGGCAGCCACAGCTTCCCTCCTACAGGCCTGAGGGCAGCTCTCTCTCGCTCACTCTCTCCCTCCCTCTCTCCCTCCCTCTCCCCCCTCTCCCCCTCTCTCTGCAGCTCTCCCCTCTCTCTCCCCCCCTCTCTAAGGTAAAGTCTGCCAGCACCCTCAAGTCCAGGCTGACGGCCACCCCTTCCTGTGGCCACAGGTGCCGAGTCAGGGTTCATTAGCGGCAGACGCATGCCTGCCCGGCCGCCCTTCACACCTGCTGCAGACGGCCACTTAGAAGGAAGCGGGGGAGGCCACCCAAGGCTGATGAGAAGGCACAGCGAGTCATTTCTTCAGGGCTCCGGAGCTGGGCGAGGTACTGTGAGATCAGTTCCCCTGGAAGGAAAGAGACATGGGACTAGAGTGCCTTACTGCCTGTCCATGCCCTGCAGAAAGGCCAGCCAGGCACCCAGTAACCAGGGCACACCTGGAAAGACGCACGCAAGGGGGACTGTGTTCTACTCTGGCAGAACCAGGGCTTGAACTCAGGCTTATGCTTGCTAGGCAGGGACCCTGCCGCTTGATCCTTGCCCCCAGTCCTCTCGGCTGTCGTCGGTTCTCAGGCCTGCGTGGATCACAGTCCTATTTACGTGTCTTGCGCAGTTAGGAGAGCAGCAGCATATGCCACTGTACCTGGCTGCTGTGCCAGTGTTGACATGGGGGTCTCGAGAACTTTCTGCCCAGCTGTCCTCCTACCATAATCCAAGTAGTTAGGATTACAGGCCTATAAAATGATGGAAGATGTTCCTGAGTGATTTTAGTCACATGGTTTTATTTTCAAAAACTCAAATCCAGAAGTGTTGTGAGACTAGATGGCACATTTATACTTGCATTTCATTCACTGAGAGCATCAAGCTTGCTGTGGAAATACAATCACCTTATAAGGGAGAGAAAACGGTAGAGAGGTCTGGAGCCTCATCTTCACTCACTAAGAAAACAAGACCTGTGGAAATGGTATTCTCCTTGTCCATGGAAAAGCAGAGGTGGGCCAGGAACCCTGGCAGGAGGAGGAGGAGAGGCAGACTGGAGAGGCAAGGGAAGAACTCTGAAGACAGTGAGCAACTCTGCAGGTACTACCGAGATGTCCTGTTTGCTGAAGCCCCAGGACTCCGGACAGAGGAGCGTGTGAGGCTACACTACACCCCAGCAAAGCTCTGCCCCCTCAGACAGGATGGCAGAAAAACACACATGGAAGAAATGGAATGAACCAAAATAGGAAAGAAGTCAAACAGCCCCCATCTGCAGATAATATAAGCTATACTTGAGAACCTCTAAGGACACCATCCCCTTCATCAGCCTAGACCTGATTAGGACCTTCAGCAATGAAGCAGTATACAAAATCAGCACACAAAAACAACTCGCTTTTCTGTATACCAACAACAGGATGAGAAGGAAATTAGGAAAACAACTTCATTCACAATAGCTGCACCACAAAAAAAAGAAAAAAAAACAGGGCCTGGGAAGGTGGCTCAGTGGTAGCGTGCTTGCCTTGCATGCAGGAGGCCCTGGGTTCGATTCCTCAGCACCACTTAAGCAAAAAGAAAAAAGCCGGAAGTGGCACTGTGGCTCAAGTGGTAGAGCGCTCGCCTTGAGCTGAAGAGCTGAGGGACAGTGGTCCAGGCCGAGTTCAGGCCCACGACCGGACCCCCCCCCCAAAAAAAACACCTAAAATACCTACTAAAAAGCCTAACCAAGGAGGTGAAGGACCTCTATAATTAAAACTATAAATGCTGAAGAAAGACACCAAAGAAGACATGAGAAAATGGAAAGACCTCCCATGTTCCTGGATTGCGAGAATCAATACCTGAAAATGTCCACACTGCCAAAGGCAATCTACAAATTTAATGCAATATCCATCAAAAACTTTAATGTGATTCCTTACAGAAATAGAAAAGGCAATCCTTTTTTTTTTTTTGTCGGTCGTGGGGTCTGAACTCTGGGCTTGGGCGCTGTCCCTTAGCTTTTCAGCTCAAGGTGAGCGCTCTACCACTTGAGCCACAGCGCCACCTCCGGGTTTTTAGTGGTTTATTGGAGATAAGAGTCTCATGGACTTTCCTGCTCGGGCTGGCTTTGAATCGTGATCCTCAGATTTCAGCCTCCTGAGTAGAGAAAAGGAAATCTTAAAATTTATATGAAGGCCAGACACCAGTGGCTCATTTCTGTAATCCTAGCTATTTAGAAGGCTGAGATGTGAGAATCACAGTGTGAAGCCATCTAGGTCAGGAAAGCCCATGAGACTCATATCTCCAATAAACTACTCAAAAAAGCTGGAAGTGGCATTGTAGCTCACGTGGTAGAGTGATAGCCTTGAGCAAAATAAAGAAAGTTCAGGGATAGTGCCCTGGTCCATAGTTCAAGTCCCAGGACTAGGGAAAAAAAATTCATAGAGGAAGTAGAGGTGTGGCTCAAGTGATAGAGTGCCAGCCTAGAGCAAAAATGCCAATTGAAGGTGTGAGGCCCTGAGTTCAAGCTCTAGTACTGGCCAAAAAAAAAAAAAAAGGAAGAGAGAGAGAGAGAGAGATTAAAATTCATAAATTCACCTGTTAACACAAAAGCCTCAAACAGCCAAAATAATTCTGGGCAAAAAATACTATAAAGCCACAATTTAAAACAACAACAACAACAAAAACCAACTTGGTACTGACACAAAAACAGAGCTGAAGACCAATGGTACAGATTCAAAACCCCAGAAATAAATCCATGCACCTATAACCAATTGATATTTGTTGGAGAAAGAATAGCCTCTTTAATAAACGGTACAAGGAGAACTAGATTTCCACATGCTGAAGACTCTCAATTCAGAGTGGATCAAAGACCTGAACTTGAGACTACCATAGGAGGGAGGAGAGGAAGTGCTAGACATAGTGACATAGGAATCTCCTGAGTAGGATTCCAAGGACCTCGCAAACATGAAAACTGACAAAAAGGATTGCATTAAGCTAAAGAGCTTCTGTACAATGAAGGATATTGTCATTAAACTATAAAGACAATGGACATGGTAGGAGATCTTTGATGGTCTAATGAGGATCTGATGAGAGTCTGATAATAAGAATAAACAAAGACCCAGTAACTCAGTTGATAAATGGGCAGAGGAGCTTAAATAAACACTTCTCAGAAGTAGAAGTTCAGGGGCTGGGAAGGTGGCTCAGTGGTAAAGTGCTTGCCTTGCATGCATGAGGCCCTGGGTTCGATTCCTCAGCACCACATAAGCAGAAAACGCCAGAAGTGGCACTGAAGCTCAAGTGGTAGCCTTGAGCTAAAGAACTGAGGGACAGTGCCCAGGCCCTGAGTTCAAGCCCTACAACAACATTTCCATTTTCAGGGAAATAGATGGAGCTGGAGTTGGAAAAGATCATACTGAGTTAATTAAGTCAGGCATAGAAAGACAAAGTGTGCATGTAGATCACAGATCCAAAACACAACCTCCCACGTGAACTACACAGGGACACAGGACCAACCTGAGGCACAGCACCACAGACTGAACTACAACGCCTCCTGAGGCAAACCCTGGGGGAATGAACAGATTTAACCAAATGAATTATAGGAAGTTGAAACATGTTTGAATAAGGGAAGGTGAAGAGGGGGAAGGAAATGAATAGAAAAACATGGTGCACAAATCTAGTCATAACACTCAGTACACATATGTGAAAAAGGAAGTAAGAAGCTGGGAAGTCCATGAGACTCTTACCTCCCTTTAACCACCAAAGACACTAGAAATGGAGCTGTGGCTCACGTGGCACAGCACTAGCCTTGAGCAAAAAAGCTCAGGGACAGCACCTAGGCCCTGAGTTCAAGCTCCAGGATCAGCACCCAAAAAGGGGGGGAGGGGGTAGGAAGAGGGGGGGGAGGAGGAGGGGGAGGGGGAGAGGGAGGGGGAGGGAGAGGTGGCGGCGGCCCTGCTAATGTGAACACGCTGCTTCCGCATCAACAGTGTTAACGCAGTGCACAGGAACACATATTCTGGCAACGCCTCTTGTTCACAAGTGAAAACCCTCCTCAGGCAGCTAGGCTTGCCTGACAGAGCAAACAATTTTCCTGGAATCTGTATGGCCCAGTCTCCCAATCCCCACCCCCACCCCCAGCCCACTGCCCAATCAGCCAGGTCCTGGGACAACTCAAGGGGTTTAGGCAGCCCTCACCTCCAGCTCCACAACGGGGGCTGGCCCCTCAGCTCACTCACCAGCAACGGCAGGGCCTGCCTCCCTAGGGCCCTTCCTGTAGTATTCTCTGGAAAGGGCGGCTAGGGCCGCAACAGCTGTGTCCTGAAACAGAGGGCATGGTGTACAGAGCTCTGCAGTGAAGTGCCTGGCCAGAGGCGCCAGGGTCATTCTGATGTCTAAGCAGCCACCTTTCACCAAATTATGACCTTTCCTTCATATATATATGCTCTGACATCTATCAGACACAGTGATCACGTTAAATTTGCTGTACTAGTTTAAAGTTTAAAAAAAAACAGAATTTGGTTATTTCTTCCAAAAAGTGTTAATTCCACTTTTTTTTTTTTTTTTGGTAGGTCGTGGGGTGTGAACTCTGGGCCTGGGCACTGTCCTTCAGCTCTTCAGCTCAAGGCTAGCACTCTACCACTTGAGCCACAGTGCCACTTCCGGCTTTTTTCTTTTTGCTTATGTGGTGCTGAGGAATCGAACCCAGGGCCTCAGGCATGCAAGGCAAGCGCTCTACCATGGAGCCACCATCCCAGCCCCAGTTCCCCATCTTCTATGACCGGGCAAATAATAAAATGAAGCACTCCTCTTCTCCTTCTGGCTGGAAGCACTGCAGGGATGAGGTAGGCTTGCTTGAGCGGCACAGGGCCTCACAGAGGGGACCGCAGGGTCCCTGGGGCCTCAGGAACAAGAGAGAGCCTGGGGCGAGGAGGAGGAGAGACAAGCCAGGGCAAAACAACATGGTGAAAGGCCGCACAGAGCAGGTCCACCAAAAGGCTGGAAGTGGAGCTGTGTGGCTCAAGTGGCAGAGCACCGGCCTTGGGCTGAAGAGCCCAGGCCCAGAGTTCAAGCCCCATGACCAACCAAAAAAAAGTTAGCATTCTGGTCACTAGGGGCCACTGCGGCTTCCTGATTATAAGCCTGGTAGCAGGCCCATGCCAAATTCCAAATGGCCCAGAAAGGGCTCGCAACGCATTATGCCACCTGCCATGCATGCAGGTGAGACGGGCTCATGCCCAACACACCTTGATCTGCTGTCTAGACTGGGTTGAAATAAGGTAGAGACTTCTCAGAGTGTCATCTATCAGCCACTGCCAGCCATCTGCCAAGACAAAAGGATGGTCACCTACCAAACGCAGAACACTCAGTTGTGTTTAAGCAGATAGCCCCCCCGGGAGGGACAGAGAGGCCCGAGTGAGCGCTGCAGACTGCTCAGAGTCCACAGGCTTCCCCGGGTACAGGACGCCAGGAGAGACTGCTGGACACTGCTGCAAAGCCAGGCGGAGGCATGGGAAACGCGGCCCCGGGCTCGGCCCTTTCATCAGAGCGTAAAGCTTCAAGGGGTCTCTTCCTAGCTCACACCTGGTCTCCACCCATGTTAACTGAATATTCAACTCAACTACAATGAGTTGGGAGGAGGCAGAGGATGCTTACTTACTCTAATAAGCTAAGAAACAAAAACCTAGTGACGTCAGGCTGGAGGGCCAGGCAGGTCCGGGCTGGGTGCCTGCTGCTTGGAGCCCGGACCTGACCCCGGCATTCTGTCACCAGGTCCTCAAGGGTCCACCAGGGCCATAACCGTGGCGCTGGGTGCATTGTGACAGGCTCAGCCACAGCTGGGTGCTGGGCAAGGGACAAGAAAGGGACCTCCGGCCACAGGACCTCAGAGTGGCTTCAAGACAGGCCTTCTACACTGTGACCTTCTAATCCCATGCTAACAGCCTCACTTTTTACTTTGTAACTTGAAGCAGTTGTGTAAGAAAATCCTATATACACTCTTGAAAAGAAAAGCACTTACCTATGACAGGGTCACCTTTAAAGGGCATTCTGGAAAGTGACAAGTTCTGTATTAAAACGCACACTAGGGGAAAAGAGGAAAAAGCACCATTAGCACTCCGAAGTGCCTCTCACAGCCCGGGCCTGGCTGTGCGTCACGGTGTGCACTGCCAGCATCAAGCTCTCCCCCACCTCCCTGCTCGCTGGCCAGCCCAGGCTGCCTCCCCACTGGGAGGAACTTCAGGTCCTCCTGTATGCACCTGCGGATCCTGGCCTGGTCAGGATCGCTACACAGGCTGAGATGCAGCTCAGTAAAAGAGCATTTATCCAGCAAGGCAGGGGTCAGTCCTCTCCCCTAGACAGATTGCAGGGGTAGGGGCTCTGCATAAGGAGGACCTGACTGCCACCTCAGAGGACACAAACACAATGCAAAAGACCTGCGTGAGTAAGGCCATCTGTACAAGTGAACAGGGGCTAAGGAGGAGCACTTAGTGCTGTCTCAGGCCAGGACCATCTCCAGGTCACAGGAAGTGCTCCTGTCACAGGCAGCCATGCCAGGTTGCCGGAAAGACAGGAAAACACCTACGAGTCCAGTTCATGGGTGTCGGCAGGTTCCACCACACCAGTTCAGGTCAGGAGCACAACAGCGGGGCACAGGACCCTCAGGGAGAGGTCCCCGAGAGCATGGACAAGCACTCCGCTCCAGTGAGTCCTTATGACGAATCGGTGCCATGGAGGGTTGATCACTGTCTCACAGGGAGCAGCTACTGGGTGCTACTCAGATGGCATGCAACGGACAACCTCTCCTAACTCCTGTGCCACAGTGACGACCAAGTCATGCCTGCCGCAAGTGATCACTCCGAGCCCTGTCCTCACACCTGCCCCAGAGTGATCACTCCATGCCCTGTCCTCACACCTGCCCCAGAGTGATCACTCCATCCACGGTCCTCACACCTGCCCCAGAGTGACCACTCCATGCCCTGTCCCCACACCTGCCCCAGAGTGATCACTCCATACCCTGTCCTCACACCTGCCCCAGAGTGACCACTCCATCCACTGTCCTCACACCTGCCCCAGAGTGACCACTCCATGCCCTGTCCTCACACCTGCCCCAGAGTGATCACTCCATGCCCTGTCCTCACACCTGCCCCAGAGTGATCACTCCATGCCCTGTCCTCACACCTGCCCCAGAGTAACCACTCCATCCACTGTCCTCACACCTGCCCCAGAGTGATCACTCCATGCCCTGTCCTCACAACTGCCCCAGAGTGATCACTCCATGCCCTGTCCTCACACCTGCCCCAGAGTGACCACTCCATGCCCTGTCCTCACACCTGCCCCAGAGTGATCACTCCATCCACGGTCCTCACACCTGCCCCAGAGTGATCACTCCATGCCCTGTCCTCACACCTGCCCCAGAGTGACCACTCCATGCCCTGTCCTCACACCTGCCCCAGAGTGATCACTCCATCCACGGTCCTCACACCTGCCCCAGAGTGACCACTCCATGCCCTGTCCTCACACCTGCCCCAGAGTGATCACTCCATGCCCTGTCCTCACACCTGCCCCAGAGTGATCACTCCATCCACTGTCCTCACACCTGCCCCAGAGTGATCACTCCATCCACTCTCCTCACACCTGCCCCAGAGTGACCACTCCATGCCCTGTCCTCACACCTGCCCCAGAGTGACCACTCCATGCCCTGTCCTCACACCTGCCCCAGAGTGATCACTCCATCCACTGTCCTCACACCTGCCCCAGAGTGATCACTCCATCCACTCTCCTCACACCTGGCCCAGAGTAATCACTCCATGCCCTGTCCTCACACCTGCCCCAGAGTGATCACTCCATCCACGGTCCTCACACCTGCCCCAGAGTGATCACTCCATCCACTCTCCTCACACCTGCCCCAGAGTGATCACTCCATCCACGGTCCTCACACCTGCCCCAGAGTGATCATTCCATGCCCTGTCCTCACACCTGCCCCAGAGTGATCACTCCATCCACTGTCCTCACACCTGCCCCAGAGTGATCACTCCATGCCCTGTCCTCACACCTGCCCCAGAGTGATTACTCCATCCACGGTCCTCACACCTGACCCAGAGTGACCACTCCATCCACGGTCCTCACACCTGCCCCAGAGTGATCACTCCATCCACGGTCCTCACACCTGCCCCAGAGTGATCACTCCATCCACGGTCCTCACACCTGCCCCAGAGTGACCACTCCATCCACGGTCCTCACACCTGACCCAGAGTGACCACTCCATCCACGGTCCTCACACCTGACCCAGAGTGACCACTCCATCCACGGTCCTCACACCTGCCCCAGAGTGATCACTCCATCCACTGTCCTCACACCTGCCCCAGAGTGATCACTCCATCCACTGTCCTCACACCTGCCCCAGAGTGACCACTCCATCCACGGTCCTCACACCTGCCCCAGAGTGACCACTAAATCCACGGTCCTCACACCTGCCCCAGAGTGATCACTCCATCCACTGTCCTCACACCTGCCCCAGAGTGACCACTAAATCCACGGTCCTCACACCTGCCCCAGGGTGATCACTCCATCCACGGTCCTCACACCTGCCCCAGGGTGATCACTCCATCCACGGTCCTCACACCTGCCCCAGGGTGATCACTCCATCCACGGTCCTCACACCTGCCCCAGAGTGATCACTCCATGCCCTGTCCTCACACCTGCCCCAGAGTGATCACTCCATCCACTGTCCTCACACCTGCCCCAGAGTGATCACTCCATCCAGGGTCCTCACACCGGCCCCAGAGTGATCACTCCATCCACGGTCCTCACACCTGCCCCAGAGTGATCACTCCATCCACTCTCCTCACACCTGCCCCAGAGTGATCACTCCATGCCCTGTCCTCACACCTGCCCCAGAGTGATCACTCCATGCCCTGTCTTCACACCTGCCCCAGAGTGATCACTCCATCCACGGTCCTCACACCTGCCCCAGAGTGACCACTCCATCCACTGTCCTCACACCTGCCCCAGAGTGATCACTCCATCCACGGTCCTCACACCTGCCCCAGGGTGATCACTCCATCCACGGTCCTCACACCTGCCCCAGAGTGATCACTCCATCCACTGTCCTCACACCTGCCCCAGAGTGATCACTCCATGCCCTGTCCTCACACCTGCCCCAGAGTGATCACTCCATCCACTGTCCTCACACCTGCCCCAGAGTGATCACTCCATCCAGGGTCCTCACACCGGCCCCAGAGTGATCACTCCATCCACGGTCCTCACACCTGCCCCAGAGTGATCACTCCATCCACTCTCCTCACACCTGCCCCAGAGTGATCACTCCATGCCCTGTCCGAACACCTGCCCCAGAGTGATCACTCCATGCCCTGTCCTCACACCTGCCCCAGAGTGATCACTCCATCCACGGTCCTCACACCTGCCCCAGAGTGACCACTCCATCCACTGTCCTCACACCTGCCCCAGAGTGATCACTCCATCCACGGTCCTCACACCTGCCCCAGAGTGATCACTCCATGCCCTGTCCTCACACCTGCCCCAGAGTGATCACTCCATCCACTCTCCTCACACCTGCCCCAGAGTGATCACTCCATCCACTCTCCTCACACCTGCCCCAGAGTGATCACTCCATGCCCTGTCCTCACACCTGCCCCAGAGTGATCACTCCATCCACTGTCCTCACACCTGCCCCAGAGTGATCACTCCATGCCCTGTCCTCACACCTGCCCCAGAGTGATCACTCCATGCCCTGTCCTCACACCTGCCCCAGAGTGATCACTCCATCCACTCTCCTCACACCTGCCCCAGAGTGATCACTCCATGCCCTGTCCTCACACCTGCCCCAGAGTGATCACTCCATCCACTCTACTCACACCTGCCCCAGAGTGATCACTCCATGCCGTCCTCACACCTGCCCCAGAGTGATCACTCCATCCACTGTCCTCACACCTGCCCCAGAGTGATCACTCCATGCCCAGTCCTCACACCCGCCCCAGAGTGATCACTCCATCCACGGTCCTCACACCTGCCCCAGAGTGATCACTCCGTCCACGGTCCTCACACCTGCCCCAGAGTGATCACTCCATCCACGGTCCTCACACCTGCCCCAGAGTGATCACTCCATGCCGTCCTCACACCTGCCCCAGAGTGATCACTCCATCCACGGTCCTCACACCTGCCCCAAAGGGATCACTCCATGCCCTGTCCTCACACCTGCCCCAGAGTGACCACTCCATCCACGGTCCTCACACCTGCCCCAAAGTGATCACTCCATCCACGGTCCTCACACCTGCCCCAGAGGGATCACTCCATGCCCTGTCCTCACACCTGCCCCAGAGTGATCAGTCCATGCCCTGTCCTCACACCTGCCCCAGAGTGATCACTCCATCCACGGTCCTCACACCTGACCCAGAGTGATCACTCCATGCCCTGTCCTCACACCTGCCCCAGAGTGATCACTCCATCCACGGTCCTCACACCTGCCCCAGAGTGATCACTCCATCCACGGTCCTCACACCTGACCCAGAGTGACCACTCCATCCACGGTCCTCACACCTGACCCAGAGTGACCACTCCATCCACGGTCCTCACACCTGCCCCAGAGTGATCACTCCATCCACTGTCCTCACACCTGCCCCAGAGTGATCACTCCATCCACTGTCCTCACACCTGCCCCAGAGGGACCACTCCATCCACGGTCCTCACACCTGCCCCAGAGTGATCACTCCATCCACTCTCCTCACACCTGCCCCAGAGTGATCACTCCATCCACTGTCCTCACACCTGCCCCAGAGTGACCACTCCATCCACGGTCCTCACACCTGCCCCAGAGTGATCACTCCATCCACTGTCCTCACACCTGCCCCAGAGGGATCACTCCATCCACTGTCCTCACACCTGCCCCAGAGGGATCACTCCACGCCCTGTCCTCACACCTGCCCCAGAGTGATTACTCCATCCACGGTCCTCACACCTGACCCAGAGTGACCACTCCATCCACGGTCCTCACACCTGCCCCAGAGTGATCACTCCATGCCCTGTCCTCACACCTGCCCCAGAGTGATCACTCCATCCACGGTCCTCACACCTGCCCCAGAGGGATCACTCCATGCCCTGTCCTCACACCTGCCCCAGAGTGACCACTCCATCCACGGTCCTCACGCCTGCCCCAGAGTGATCACTCCATCCACTGTCCTCACACCTGCCCCAGAGTGATCACTCCATCCACTGTCCTCACACCTGCCCCAGAGTGATCACTCCATGCCCTGTCCTCACACCTGCCCCAGAGTGATCACTCCATGCCCTGTCCTCACACCTACCCCAGAGTGATCACTCCATGCCCTGTCCTCACACCTGCCCCAGAGTGATCACTCCATGCCCTGTCCTCACACCTGAAGCTCAGTGACCCCTGGTCCCCTTGTCTCCACACTTCTACACACACGTACCCTTCTTGTGTGCTACATTAACGCAGATACACAATAGCAGTTCTCCTGACGATATCGTAATTTTTATTTTCCTAAGCACATGGTAAAATGGAAGAGAAATAAATGTGAATACTGGGCTTTGGTCTTTAATTTGTCGTATTTTGACCTGTGCCCGGCCTAATGATGTTACATAAGGAGAAAGCATGCTGCCTTTAGCGGACACCTTTTCTTCCTGTAGATGTGCTAGATGCTCATCTCCCCTCTCCTGTTCAGAAGCATGTCCTTTACTTCCCACCTCAGAGACCCCCGTGGCATGCCTCATGCAGCAGACCGGGGCTGAACAGGCTACAAGAAGCCTAAGGTATTCACACAACGGCATCTCGTGCGCTCCCTGCAGACACTGACCTACGCTACATTCAATTTAAATTCTAATTCAGAAAGGAAGATGCTCCCTAGCTCCTTCGGTTCACTGTGCTCACCCCACAGCCAGCCAGACCCAAGTCTGCTGAAACTGACCAGGGCCCCGCATCTGAGGACTGGAGCATCAGACACAGAGAAGCTGAGGCAAGGCTGGTCGTCTGCCTCTCAGAGCATGAGCTCCTCCAAAAGGAACCACCACCACCCCCAGCTGCAGAAGGGCCAGGGATAAAGGGCAGACGTGTGTGTCTCAGGACATTGTCCCATGGTCTGAGCAAAGGCTCCGCAGCTTCTGTCTTCAGACCTACCTGCTTGTCTCATGAGCTCTCCTCCCAGGCCCCTAAAAAGCCAATGAGAACATTCAGAGTTAAAAATCTCCTACTACATAAAACATTAAACATCCCACCAAGCAACAGATAAAACTTCAGCTGCCCAAATACAGTAAAATATTAATGAGGCAACCTTGTCACCAAAAGCATTTTACTTCGTTCTCTGGGAAGAACTGAGAAGCTATGACCAGAGCATCCTTTGGCGGTCTTGCAGCTCTCTGGGACACTTGTTGCTCACAGCACTGAAAACACCCCTGGACGAGCAGAATGCACTTTACATGTTGTTTAACCTCACTTCACAGAGATGCCAGAGCAACCCGACAGGAATCACTCCTGCGCTAGCGCCCAGGGGTGCCAAGAAGCTCCCTGGCAAGGAACGTAACTCTGACTGAGGAGGCTGTGGCTTCTGGTCCAGACAGAGGAGCAGGGACGACATAAACAGCTAAAAACAAACAAAAAAACTGGACAAAACACATGAAAACTCCGGAGTAGACCCTGGGAGACAGAGAGTAATACTGAAACCCTGGAGCTCCTAGAGGACTGTAGGGGCGGAGAGGGCGGCATGGAGTGTCACGCAAGTCCCCGGGTGCCTAGCCATCCCGTCGTGGCAAGGAGCTGAAAATGGGCACGGGCATAGCCAAAGCAGGTGGGGCAGGGAGCAGGAGCAGCCTGTGGCCTACTCTAAGCTGATACTGGACGGAAGACTGGCCTGAGAGGAAACACCTGGAAGGTGAAAGCAGGCCCTTCCGGAGCCCACAGTGGGCCGGGAGTGGCCCTCATCCATCAGCGGGGAGAGCCGGATTGTTCATGACACACTGCCAGGACCCTCGGAGAGGGTGCATCAGCAACTGGCTAACTGCTCCACACCACACAGAAAGACTCAACGCACGCCTGAAGGACCCAAACGTGCACAAGACCGAGAAGAAAGCATATTCTGACTGGACCATAACAGGGTCTGGGAAGGAGGCTCAGTGGTAGAGCACTTGCCTAGCATGCATGAAGCCCTGAGTTCCATTCCTCAGCACCACATAAGCAGAAAGAAACAGAAGTGGCGCTGTGACTCAAGTGGTAGAGTGCTAGCCTTGAGCTGAAGAGCTGAGGGGGGCTGGGATGTAGCTCAGTGGCAAAGCACTTGCCTAGCAAGTGCAACATCCTGGGTTCGATCCCCAGTACCAAAAAAAAAAAGAAAAGACAAAAAAAATACAGTTAAAAAAAAAAAAAAAGAAGAGCTGAGGGACAGCGCCCAGGCCCAGATTCAGGCCCCACCACCGACCAAAAAAAAAAAAAAAGACTTTAGAAACGCATCAAGTGCAATTAACAGCAGATTAGAAAGAGCAGAAGATAGGGAATGTACTCATTATCTTGCTCACGTAACTGTAACCCCTCTATACAGTATTTTACAATAAAAAACGCTAATTTAAAAAAAAAAGAGCAGAAGAAAACTTTAAGCATCAGAAAGCAGATCTGTGATGGGGGAAGCAAGGGGTGGGAGCAGTGGGGGGGCATAGTAAAGTTCCTTCTTTTTTTTGGCCAGTCGTGGGGCCTGAACTCTGGGCCTGGGCGCTGTCCCTCAGCTCTTCAGCTCAAGGCGAGCGCTCTACCACTTGAGCCACAGCGCCACTTCCAGCTTTTTCTGCTTGTGTGGTGCTGAGGAATTGAACCTAGGGCATGCAAGGCAAACTCTACCACTGAGCCACCTTCCCAGCCCAAGTTCCTTCTTCTAAGGAAAGAAGGAACTCATACGGTTGGCAACATTTGTCATTCTGATTAATTTTATTATGTATGAATTGTTAACTTAGTGAACAGTCCCCAGGACAGCAACAGCAGAACAAAAGACCCCTACTTCTACTTTGCTAAAGTCTGAAGAGTGATGTATGAGCCAAAGCTCATCTGGAGACAGTCTCAGGCTTACACAACTTTCCTAAGCCTGTAGTCACTGGCTCCCCCTGCCAGAAACTCAGCTGAGGACCACAAGCCCACCACACAGCAGGCCTCGGCCCCGGCTCCAGGGCTGAGACCCCTCTGCCCGCCACTCATGAGAGGCTCCACAGCACATCCCACGAAAGAGGGTCACTCTCCAAACCGCTATTTAAGATAACCAAGTCTCTTCTGCTAGTCTAGGCAAATGCTACAAAAATAAATACAAACGAGATTTTTGGAAGTCAATTCATCATTCCACTGAAAAGGCAGAACTTTTACTCAAACCTAGGTGGAGCTCAGGAGCCAGCTCTGACATGGGCAGTAATGGAAGGACTTAACATGACCTCGCTGGACAGAAACGCACAAGACCACAGGATGTGGGACAAGTGACAGAGCCGCCGGTCCCCCAGGCCCCAGGCCCAGCCCGGCAGCCGGCCCCTGGGAGTTCCGAGCAGCCGCACGGCGCGGGGTCCCGTGTGCCACCTGTGCTCTCCAGGGTCTAAAACGCACAGCGAGCCCAAGGCAGGAAGGGGCGGGGGAGGGGGCCGCGGGATTCCACCCTTGCAGAGAGAAGCATATTGCTTACACCTGCAGCAAAATGCTGCAAAGAAAATGAAACCGAGAGTCAGAGTAGGAGAAATGTGGCCGAATCCCATGTGTGACAAGTGCTGGTCTGGACACAGGGCAGGTGTCCCTCGAGAGGAGCCCCTCAGTGCCAGAAGACACTCATGTGCTCAAAGATAAGTGGGAATGTCATTCCACACGGCCCGAGGCCTGAGCTCACCCAAGACCAAGCACTGCAGGACTCACACACCACTGGTGCTACACAGCGATGAAAAGCAACAAAACAGTAACACACCACCTGGTAAGCCTCAGAAGCACTCCATGAGCGAATCAGACATAAATAATTTCATACAATCAGATTCCGCAGAACCCTACGACAGGCAAACTGCAGAGGCTGAGCGCCCTGGAGGCCAGGGTGGAGAAAGCTTCAGCAGCAACTCCTCTTCCCCTTGGAGGTATACCACCGTCCACCACCACAGAAACACAGCACCCGAAACATGGGGCACCAGAACCTGTGAATCTCCACAAAGGTGTCTGAGGGCGTGAGACCCTCATGTCCTCGAACACTGAGTCAAGTGACAGTTGCACCTCCTCAAGCAAAGTAAACCCAGAGCCTAGGAATGAGGACAGTGCGGTGCGGGCTCAGCACAGGCTGGAGTCTGAGCTGCTTGTAAGTGCGGTGCGGGCTCAGCACAGGCTGGAGTCTGAGCTGCTTGTAAGTGCGGTGCGGGCTCAGCACAGGCTGGAGTCTGAGCTGCTTGTAAGTGCGGTGCGGGCTCAGCACAGGCTGGAGTCTGAGCTGCTTGTAAGTGCGGTGCGGGCTCAGCACCGGTTCTCAGTGAGAGTCGGCATCAGCTCTGTAACACGGCTTACCTGTAGAGATGACGATCATAAAGCTAAAAAAAATAAATGATTGAAAATTAGTCATTTCAGAAATGTGGGTTTTTAAGTAAGACAGTATATGTAAAATATACAATATAGCAACAGGACGGAGGCAACCAGTCTCACCTCAGCTCGGCCAGACCCTGGCTAAGCTTTATAGGTGGGTTATCTTGAAGGGAAATGTCGGAGCAGAGTGGCCACCCCAAGGGAGAACAGGACTAAACTTCACCCTGGATCCCAGGGACGACCCTGGCCTCCCTTGAAGAAAACTCACCATGCCAAAAGGACATGGGTATTCTTGCCTTTGAGGGAATTTAAAAGCACTTCAAGACATCATCCTCAGCTAAAACTTGCGAGATGTTTATTTATTTGCTGTCACTAAACATTTTGCTTTGTTTTCTTTTGGGGGGGGGGGATCAGTGGTGAGACTTGAACTCTGGGCCTGGGCGCTGTCCCTCAGCTCTTCAGCCCAAGGCGAGCGCTCTACCACTTGAGCCACAGAACCACTTCCAGTTTTCCAAGAGTCTCATGGACTTTGCCCCTCCTGGGCTGCTTTTGAATAGTGATCCTCATACCTCAGCCTCCCGAGAAGCTAGGATTACAGGTGTGAGACACCATGCTTGGCTCCTGAGCTCTTTTTTTCCTCAAGGCTAGTACTCTACCACTTTGAGCCACAGCTCCACTTCCAGTTTTCTGACAGGTAACTGAAGATAAGAGATGCATGACTTTCCTGCCCAGACTGGCCTTTGCCTCCTGAGTATTTAGGATTACAGGTGTGAGCCGCCACTAAACTCGTTAAAGTGCCTTTTTAATTCTTACAAAAACTGACATGGTCTTTTATTATCTTTATTTTACAGCTAGGAAACCCTGACTCAGAGGAATGTGCTCTGCTCAACTGCCTTACTGGGCTACCTCCAGGGCTAGCAAGAATGTTAGGTTCTACTTTAAAAAGAGATGTATAGGCAAGCTAAAGAAATGGTATTGCTAAAGTCATAAAGTTAGTGGCAGGAATACAATAAGGACCAGCCCATTGCCATATAAAGGACAAATCTGAAGGAACATAAAACTCTACTTGGAACAAGACAATAAAAACCACTTAATTCTTCAGATGATCTTGAAAGGATCATTTTCTTCGTATTTTATCTTTTGAGTCACCCAGAAGCTTTAAGAATCTCAAAATCCCAGAATGCCCACAACTTTTCTCCAGAGAAATATGTGCACAAAATTTTGGGTTTAACCTCAAGAGACTCAAGATCATAGCCAGGGATAAACAGGTAAAAACCAAAGAGCACTCTGCCATGGGAGTCCCCAGCCCCTCTACAAGACACATCTGCCCCGGGCCGGCAGCATTCCCTCCACCTACAGGGCCCTGCACTGTCCGGCACCCAGTGGGTCCTGGAGCACACTGTGCAGAGAAGACCACAGAACAACTCTGCCGCCAGGAAATCTGTAGCCCGCCTCAGTGAGTCCTAGGGCCTAGGACTGGCCCCAGTAAGTCACACTTGGTCCCTCTCCAGGGCAGACAGCCAGGTGCGTGACGCTTTGCATGCAAAGAGTGTGCTCCACACAAACCTGCTGGTGGATCTGCTTGAGGCCTTGCACCACCTTCTCGTCGAGGTAGTCGGTGACAGGCCTGCGGAGGACAAACACAGAGCTGAGGCCACAAGCACCACGCATGCGCCCAGCACAAACAAGAAAAAGGTGCATTCAGAGAACCGCCTCCCCTTCAGGCCCTCTCTTGGTCCCCATTTCTGACTTTAGATACAGCTGTGTCAGGCCACAGCCAGCGGCCGTCAGGCCCCCTGAGAAGCTCTCCCCTGGCCGGTGTGCTGAAGGCAGAGGCAATGCTGTCACTAGGACTCCAGGAGGGAAGTGCCTGGCAAGATGGAGACAGGCCCACAGCGGCTGCCGCCACGCTCAGAGAGGCTCTGGCATCCAGGAGTGTGGACTTAGCAGGTCTCCCTCGCCTCATTCACCAGTGATTCACTGCTACGAGCAAGCCCAGCCTACGAGCGAAGAGTGAGTCCACACTGAGCACTGTTACGTGATGGGCAGAGAGCAGCATGCGTCTCAGGCATGCACTCTGGTAAACAGCACTACACACACACCATTGTGGTGCACTGCTGGCCAGAGTCAGACCCTGTATGGCCCCATAGGAAACGACTCTGTATTTTGCCCATGCCCCTTTCCCACAACCAAGGAGAGCAAGGCCCTCAGCAAGTACCAGGTCACCCTGACGGCATGGACGCAGTGGGTAGAAAGAGGGACCACAGCCCATCTACTGCTACCCTGCCCAAGTCACTATGGCAACCACAGGTCTTCTCAAGCTGGAGTCCAAGAGCAGGTCACAGACATGGAGGAGTCAATGAGAAGAAAACCAAGCAGCTCTTGGACCATGTGGCCAGCATGGCCTCTGCAGACCCTGCCCTTCCTGACTGGCTAAGATTCTATGAATGAAGCCAACAGGGTCACCCTCAGACCTGGTGGACTTTGAGCCACTGAAAAACCTTAAAGCAAAATACAGGAACCTAAAGACAGTGACGACTAAAACTAAGCAAGTCAGAACAAAATGTCCCCAAACCCCAAATCACAATGACATGGCTTTCCAGACAGACCATGAGTGGAGTGGCATTTCCCACCTGTCTCTCTGAGCTGCCAGCTTATACAGGGCATAGACAACTTCTGCACAGGCCAGAATGGCCCCATGCCGTGTGTGCAGATCTGAAGTCGATGTCATCAACAGCAGGGCTGGAAACACTGCAAAAGAAAGGCAGCTAGCAGGTTGGCAGATACACACTGGACAGCCTGCATGCAATCCTGGATGCCGCCTCTGAGCCACTGCCACGAGACAGGACACAGCATGACACCATGTTCGGACCAGCACAGGCACCGGAGCTCCCAGACACATACTGACAGACTGAGGTGGCGGACAGCCCAGCCTGCAGCTCTGCCCGCCGGCACCATGGCCTGCTGGGGATGCTGAAGGCGGCAGGCAGAGCACAAGACACACATGGACAACAGGAGTTTGTGCTCCAATTTTCCACTCATTTCCGCTCAGACCAAAGAGCCGCTGTCTTTGGCATTCAGAAAAGAAAGGCAAGATTCCAAATCCCGACCACATGCCCAGGCTACAGACACTGACAAACCTCCAACCATCATCTACTATAGTAGCCTGAACTGCCCATTAATCATGATGGCTTCTAAATCTAGACGGCCCACAGATCCCTTGCCTACCCCAGCACAGCCCAAAGCTCCCAGTGTACACATCCTGCCACCATCTTCAGGTTCTGTCCCACAGCTTTAGCAAGAGACACAGAACATCATCTTCAGCCACCAATCAGAAGAGTACCGAGTCTTCCTGCTGTGTGCACACGTGTGTGCACATGTGTGAAGAAGGCCCTGCAGGAGGTGGGCCCCACACCTACCATGAGCAGCACTGTACTCGGGCGCTCGCGGGACCAGGTTGTGCAGCGCCTTGGCTGAAAGCTCTCGAATGGCTCTGAGAGAAGGGGAGCACTGTTAGCAAGGAGGGACTCGCAAGCCCACGTTCACCACCACGGCCACAAGGCAGCAGCTACCCCATGCTGTGTCGGCCATGAATGAACCACCAAAATGTGGATCACTCAGCCACTACAATGTGGATCTAAGGCCTAAAGTTAAGAGTGGTTTTCCTGTTTTTAATGGTTCTATAAAGAAAAACAAAATATATTAAAGAGACCTAAGGCATTACTAGTTGACCCTTTAAAGGAAAAGTCTGCCAGACTGTGTACATAGGTTCAATGCATTATACTTTAGGACAAGCAACTCAACATGAGACAAAGGGTATTTTATAAGGATAAAGGACAAATACAAAGGCATAAAAATGTCAGACAGACATGCACCTAACATGCACCTAACTCCCATCCAAAATACAGAATGGGAAAACTGAGATGAATGAAACAAGAAACAAAAATATAAGTAACAGTTAGAGATTTCAATAGTGTAAGGATTTAGTCCAATTCATGGGCTACAAGTTTTCACTCTCGGTTTTAAGTGCCTTGTTGGCTGACAAGCTGATTAGAGAAAGAAAGGCAAAGTAGTTTATCCCACCCGGGATACACATACAGACCTCTGTTCCTAACACGGATATTCTGTGTCCCAGATGCCAGTGTGGCTCATACGTAAGCTCACAAAGATGCTGGGGGTGAGGAATTCTTAGGGAAACACAAGACCCAACTTACCTATCCCAGTGGTTGACTTTCATGGTGACGAGATGATCTATCAGTGACTGGGTGTATTCTGGAAAGCCAGCAATAAACACACTGAAATAGACAACAGTGAGAGGCGATGAGAGTTGGAAGGAGCCTCACATACTGCTCAAGAAGAATGCAAGCTACACAATTACTTTCAAAAACAGTTTGGCCATTCCTTTAAAAGTAACACCACCAGGGCTGGGAAGGTGGCTCAGTGGTAGAGCGCTTGCCTTGCATGCCTGAGGCCCTGGGTTCAATTCCTCAGCACCACATAACAAAAAAGCGGGAAGTGGCGCTGTGGCTCAAGTGGTAGAGCTCTAGCCTTGAGCTGAAGAGCTGAGGGACAGCGCCCAGGCCCAGCGTTCAGGCCCCACGACGGGACCAAAAAAAAAAAACAAATAAAAGTAACACCACCAGCCCGATGACCCAGCCCTTCCTTCTCCGCCTAGGCAGTTACTAGACAGAGGAAAGTGATCCCCACAGACTCAACACCCAGCATAGCAGCTGTGAGCCCGCACAACGGTGACCGGGAGCAGAGCCATCTCCTGGGTGCAGCCGTCAGAGACACTTCGCAGCACACAGGAACAGACTTCAGACAGAGAAGCATGAATCTCAAAACTATGCTAAGCAAAAGAACTCACAGAAAAGAGTATGGACCCCTTTAGCTCGTTTAGATAAAATGCAAGAAAATGTACATCCATCTGTAGGAATGGAAGCAGAATTTGTGGCTGAGAAGTACGCTCGGAGCCTTGGCATCCCCCTGATGGTTTCCTGCAGGTACACTTACGTCAGACTTGGGAAACTAGACATTCCGTGTGAACATATATGACTTATGTCAGAATACAGAAAGGGTAAAAGATATTAAAAAAAAAAAAAAAAACTAGCTGGGCACTGGTAGCTCACACCTGTAATCCTAGCTACTCAGGAGGCTAAGATCTGAGGATCACGGTTCAAAGCCAGCCCTGGCAGGAAAAGTCCATGAGAGGCTGGGAAGGTGGCTCAGTGGTAGAATGCTTGCCTTGTATGCATGAGGCCCTGGGTTCGATTCCTCAGTGACATATAAGCAGAAAAAGCTGGAAGTGGGGCTGAGGCTCACGTGGTAGAATGCTAGCCTACAGCTAAAGAGCTGAGGGACAGCGCCAGGCCCCATGACCAACAACAAAAAAAAAAAAAGCCCGTAAGACTCTGACTCTTATTTCCAGCAAACCATAAGTGGTAGAATGCTGGCCTTGAGCTGAAGAGCTCAGGGACAGTGTCCAGGCCCAGAGTTCAAGCCCCACGACCAACAAGGAAGGAAGGAAAGAAGGAAGGGAGGGAGGGTGGGAGGGAGGGAGGGAGGGAGGGAGGGAGGGAGGGAAGGAAAGGAAGGAAGGAAGGAAGGAAGGAAGGAAGGAAGGAAGGAAGGAAGGAAGGAAGGAAGAAAGAAAGAAAGAAAGAAAGAAAGAAAGAAAGAAAGAAAGAAAGAAAAGAAGAGAGAGAGAGAGAGAAAAGAAATTGAAAACTGCCCTGGGGGCTGGGAAGGTGGCTCAGTGGTAGAGGGCTTGCCTAGCATGCATGAGGCCCTGGGTTCCATTCCTCAGAAAAAGCCAGAAGTGGCGCTGTGGCTCAAGTGGCAGGGGCTTGGGCCTTGAATTGAAGAGCTAAGGGACAGCGCCCAAGCCCAGAGTTCAGGCCCCATGACCAACAACAACAAAAAAAAAAGCCCGTAAGACTCTGACTCTTATTTCCAGCAAACCATAAGTGGTAGAATGCTGGCCTTGAGCTGAAGAGCTCAGGGACAGTGTCCAGGCCCAGAGTTCAAGCCCCACGACCAACAAGGAAGGAAGGAAAGAAGGAAGGGAGGGAGGGAGGGAGGGAGGGAAGGAAAGGAAGGAAGGAAGAAAGAAAGAAAGAAAGAAAGAAAGAAAGAAAGAAAGAAAGAAAGAAAGAAAGAAAGAAAGAAAGAAAGAAAGAAAGAAAAGAAGAGAGAGAGAGAGAGAAAAGAAATTGAAAACTGCCCTGGGGGCTGGGAAGGTGGCTCAGTGGTAGAGGGCTTGCCTAGCATGCATGAGGCCCTGGGTTCCATTCCTCAGAAAAAGCCAGAAGTGGCGCTGTGGCTCAAGTGGCAGGGGCTTGGGCCTTGAATTGAAGAGCTAAGGGACAGCGCCCAAGCCCAGAGTTCAGGCCCCACAACCAACAAAAAATTAAATTTTTAAAAAATGCCCTGGATTCGTAAAGAAATCACAAAAGAAAATAAATAAAAGGCTAATAAGCACAGGGAAAGATGCCCATCTCCATGCGAGGGAGATGCAAACGCTCTGCCCAGCAGTGGTAAACTGTGAGGAGATGGGCCAAGGACTGATTCCATGCATTTCTGAATCGTATGTTGTTTTCAAAACAAAGTGCAATCTGTAAAAATTCCATCTATGCCTGTTGGGGGGGGAGGTTTACTGATACCGGGGCTTGAACTCAGGGCCTCTTGCTCTTGTTTAGCCTTTTTCTGGTTGATTGGAGATGAGTCTCACAGATTGTTCTGCCTAGGCTGACTTCAAATCGCCATCCTCAGATCTCAGTCTCCTGAGTAGTGAGCATTACAGGAGCACTGGCACCCACTTTTTCTTTATTTAAAAAATGTTGCTACTAGGACTTGAATGCAGGGCCTTCAGCTTTTCACCTCATACCTATGGCATGACTGACATTTGAGCCACCTTCTAGTTCTGGCTTTCCACCTTCTGAAACACAGAGGGGTTGAATCTCGACACTGGGGCTTCAACTCGGGGTTTCCTGCCCTCCCTTGGCTTCTTTTTTTTTTTTTTGGTCAGTCGTGGGACTTGAACTTTGCCTGGGCGCTGTCCCTCAGCTCTTCAGCTCAAGGCTAGCGCTGTACCACTTGAGCCACAGCGCCACTTCCGCCTTTTTCTGCTTATGTGGTGCTGGGGAATTGAACCCAGGGCCTCAAGCATGCAAGGCCAGCGCTCTACCACTGAGCCACCTTCCCAGCCCCCTCCCCTGGCTTTTTCACTCAGGATTGGCACTCTATCACTTGAGCCACACCTCTACTTCCAGCTTGTTGGTGGTTAACTGGAAATAAGAGTCACATGAACTTTCCTAAGCTGCCCTCGGAGGCTACAGAGCGGCTCCTGGTGAGCATCTGCCTAGAATGCTCCAGGGCCTGGATTCCATCCCTTGTACTACAAAAAGTAGAAGTTCCATCATCTCTTAGAAGGAACATAGGAACACTTAAAAAGAACCTGGGTGGAATGAGTTAATTCGGTTTTTGGAAGAGCAGGGACACAGAAAGGGCAGGAGAAATGGTGAACAAGTGTAGCAGTGATACTCACTAGTGAGACACGACGCTGGAAGGGAGGCATGCAGCTGGTAGGTGGGACAGGAGAGGGAGGGAGGAGCATGGTTCCAAAGAAATATACCCTTTACCCAACTCACGTAACTCTAACCCTTCTGCGCATCACCTTTACAATAACTATTTTTTTTCTTTTTTCCCTAAAAAAATATGAAACCTGCCAGGCACCAGTGGCCCACACCTCTAATCCTAGCTTTTCAGGAGGCTGAGATCTGAGGATGGTGGTTTGAACCAGCCCGGGCTTCAAAAAGTCCCCATGAGACTCTTATCTCCAATTAACCACTCAAAAACAGAAGTGGCACTGTGGCTCAAAGTGGCAGACTGGTAGCTTTGAGAAAAAGAGCTCAGAGACAGCACTCAGACCTCCAAGTTCAAGCCCCATGACCAACAATAAAAGAGGAGGAGGGGCTGGGAAGGGGCTCAGTGGTAGAGCGCGTGCCTTGCATACAAGAGGCCCTGGGATCAATTCCTCAACACCACATAAGCAGAAAAAGCCGGAAGTGGTGCTGTGGCTCAAGTGGTAGAGCTCTAGCCTTGAACTGAAGAGCTGAGGGACAATGCCCAGGCCCAGTGTTCAGGGCCCACAACCAAAAAATAAAATAAAATGAAGCAAAAAGTTCTGATACAGGAGTACGCAGGAGGCTGCAAGGACACACCACCAAACTAGAAGTAAATAGGGGAAATATTACAGAATCTCAAATACCCAAAGAATACAGCACAATAAATAGACAAAAGAATCATCAATCAGGGCTGGGAAGTTGGCTCAGTGGTAGAGCGCTTGCCTTGCATGCATGAGGCCCTGGGTTCGATTCCTCACACCACATAAGCAAAAAGAAAAAAGCCGGAAGTGGCGCTGTGGCTCAAGTGGTAGAGTGCTGGCCTTGAGCTGAAGAGCTGAGGGGCAGCGTCCAGGCCCAGAGTTCAGGCCCCACAACCGGACCAAAAAAAAAGAAGAATCATCAATCATTAGGAAAATCCAACATAATAAGCTATGACCACATATTCAATACCATGGCGTAAAGTTAGACAGACCACAGGACACTGACACAAAGACAGGAACACTAGGCACAGACGGCTCTGGAGAAAAGAGACAGGAACAGTGGAAACTGACCACAGCCCCACAGGATAGCCGGGAAGACAGAGGCAGACACGGAGACACTGACACAGAGACACTGGAGACAGATCACACTCCATAATGCAGACACGGAGACACTGACACAGAGACACTGGAGAGGGATCACACTCCATAATGCAGACACGGAGACACTGACACAGAGGCACTGGAGAGGGATCACACTCCATAATGCAGACACGGAGACACTGACACAGAGGCACTGGAGAGGGATCACACTCCATAATGCAGACACGGAGACACTGACACAGAGACACTGGAGACGGATCACACTCCATAATGCAGACACGGAGACACTGACACAGAGACACTGGAGACGGATCACACTCCATAATGCAGACACGGAGACACTGACACAGAGACACTGGAGACGGATCACACTCCATAATGCAGACACGGAGACACTGACACAGAGACACTGGAGACGGATCACACTCCATAATGCAGACACGGAGACACTGACACAGAGACACTGGAGACGGATCACACTCCATAATGCAGACACGGAGACACTGACACAGAGGCACTGGAGACGGATCACACTCCATAATGCAGACACGGAGACACTGACACAGAGGCACTGGAGACGGATCACAC